TAATAGGTCTTTTGTGCCCTGGAAATTGAGTGAGGTTTGATTTGTCCCGGCAGTTAATAGCAGACACTGCATGAAGCCTTGAAATACTCCTCTCTTATCCACCACTTCGGTGCCAAGCAGCACTAAGCCTTTTGTAGCAGTGGTAGTAGTTTGCATGAGCTCATTTTCTTTTCACCTTCACTATACTTCCTTGTGATCCACGTGTGGGCGAAAAAATGCGCATTCCTAGGCAAGGGCCTTTAAAATATACTTGGCTAATTTTCCGATTTCGTTTATATTATTTATCGATTAAGTAGTATATTAAGCATCGTCTGGTGTGAGGAGGTCGTCGAGTGTGGAAGCATCCAATTTGTTGCTACACTTGCGCCCCTTAACCAGGAGGTCAGCAATTTACTGGCCAATCGTATTCACAACTTGTTAACGAGTTTCCCCAATGAAGTCGTGAAGACAAAGAAGGAAAATGTAGTCGAAGATCACGCAACATTTGGGTTGAGTGTTCTACACGAACCAATTCTGGACTGCTGATTTGACACCACCTCCATTCAGGTTTATCATTTGGTCATCACTTAAGATATTTAGACCCAAAAAGTGGGCGTGTTTATCGTATCGAAATCATTTCAGGCATACGAGAATATGCTTTGATTGTGCTTACCTCGTGTTTAGTCTCTCCTATCCACAAATTACTGTAAATCATTCCAAGGCCTCACATGGCTGTAATTATTACCAGAGGCAATTAAAAGATGGTTTTTAAGAAAAATCCAATTACTTTTGAGTGATGGATCAGTGCATGAAAAGTTACACTCGACACCGTTTGTGTTCCCTAAAGAGTTGAAGACGCTGCAAAGAAAAAAGACTCCCTAAGGGGAGGGGAGGGGAGTGGGGCAAGACTTTTAGCCCTTCAAAAGGTTTTTAACATGCCTTTTGAATAGAAAAAATGATGAAAATTAGACAGTCATATCGAGAGGTAACTGACAAGAGAAAATGCAGCCACTCAGATTCTCTTTAGTGAGACCATTCCTCTGCATTTTGAAAAAAAGGAGCTCCCACTACCCTTCAAGTGAACGTAGTCTTTTGTTTTTTTTTTAAATTTCACCACTCAAGACTTTAATTATTTTCCACTTTCCGTCCATAGTAGACACTAATTCTAAGTAAAACTTGTCACCCTTTTTTATCAGTTTTGCCTGCACTCTATGAATGGAGTGTTGGAGTGGGAAGTGCCTCCTTGAGAGCTTTTAGGAGAAAGATTATCACTATGCCAATTCCACATTGCACCTTTTTGAATTGGCTGCATTTACAATACCTTTGGCTGTCAACCCATCAGTCGACCTGGTTTTCCGCCATCTCCACGCTGTGTGCGGATGCTTCCTTCGGCGGTGGAGGTTGTAAAAACTTTCCAGCTAATTGTCAAAGGAGAAAAAGGGTGACAGCAGGAGAGCAGGCCCCATGGCTGCAACGTCCAAATATCATGCAAGGCAACGGCATCTTACAAACTTGTTCCCCGACCCGCTGATGTCGACAGGAGGCTCGTGTTGGACAAACGATGCTCTTATTTGGTCCAATGGTAAAAAATAAATGAAGAAAAGGATCGAATTGGGTCAAAGTTGGTAGGGCTGGGATTTCTTGTTACTAGTCAAATGACTAAACGTCTTCAACCTAAAAGGCTCCACAAATATGCAATGTGCCTTATCTTGCATCTCCTCAGCCATCGAAGAGTTTCGATTCACTCAGTCACACTTCAAGCGAGCCCTTCCACTTTTTGCGTGTGCATTCGTGGGTGGAGTGATGAACTGAACCTTTCGAGCAGACCGATAGCTCCAAACAACTACAAGGAAATCCATTTAAACCTCCTAACCATGTGTGCGTTTGTATGGACTAAATTGGAGAAGAGGCAGGAGGTCACATTAAGCAGGCGTTTACCTCGGATTTAATTGATGGGAATGCTACTCAAATGTACGATAAAGTAATATGTATTGTTTACAGACGAAAACACTGAGGCATGTGCTTTAATTCTCACCTTGTAAGGTGACTTTAGAGGGGCATTCAAAGAGCCAAAATGCCTTAGCAGCAGGGATAAATAACGCCTTTTTTTGTGACGGAGAAGGAGGAAGAAGTAACTTAAGAAAAAAGCCAATGCACTCCTAACGTTGGACAAATGCCTGCCAACACCATCGAGGCACATCCCAATCCAAACTTGGCTTCAGCTCTTGAACTTGTCCGACCGTCCCAGTGGTAGTGGATAGCATGAAGGTGATATAAATTTACTGTGTGATTAAAATTTGTAGATCATGAATTGTAATTGGACTCTCTTCACAAATGTTCTCTGAGGTAGAGGCGCATTGTGTTAATGAGGTTGGAACGAGTATTTTCTCCTAAGAATTACCTTTCCAATTTTTCATGTGGTTTACATGTCATCCACAACTGCAATCAAGACTGCATCCCTTCCAAATTAGGAGCCGTTAAGAGGCTAAGGAGGGCTTGCCTCGTTCTCTTCGATTTTCTGCCTCTTAAAGCTTGTGGACATTCCATCACTTCTGCTTTGCCTGTCAGTGCGTTGTGGCTCTTTCCAACCCCAACCAACTGTAAGATTGTTACCTTCTGGAAGGTTTTTTGCCTTTCATGAGCTTTCATGCAGGTGGAAAGTTGGCAATTGTGCATTCAAAGGCGAAGAGTGGGACTTGTAAAAGATGTGTAGTAAATGCAAGTAATTTTTTGTTTGACGCAATCGGATCTTCTTCTTCTTCTCCTCCTCCTCCTCCTCCTCCTTCGTCCTACCCTCTTTCTCCTTCTCGAATCGGACCACAAAAAATTCCATCTCATGTTTTGCACTTGAATGGAACCCTTAGGCAGCAAATTTCTACAGCATCAACTGTCGTGCCGACCGAGATGGAGGGACTGTAAATGACTTCATGACACTCCCTTTTCCTGCTTCAAAGATAATTACACATGGCAGTGTAAAAGTGCTTCAAATTAGTTCGTCAAAAAAAGTCTCCGAAAGTTTGGATCTTGTTAACACAGCTGTGGTCCTTTAGTGCTAGTGGTTACAAATCTTCGTGCCTACTTGTCCCACTGCCCAAATGCTGACTGAGGCGTGAATGTGCATGTCAAATGACTCAATTTCTTTCCCTTTTGATGCAACAGTGTTATTAGTCACGGAATTAATGGCAGTCCAACACTGGCTACACAGGCTGCTTTTCACTGAGGAGTGTGAAACTGTATAGAATAGGGGAAGAGGCACTTGTTTTTCAGCAGCTAAGATCTGGAATATTTTAAAAGTAATATTGCCAAGACACCGTCTATCCACTTGTCCAATTGAATTTTTTAGGCACATCTTTCATAGAAGCGGCTATTTTTACAGATAGTTTAAGTAACTAGGTTCTTGCAGCCGCTGCAGCCATTTTACGAGCCTGTAGAAGAGCAGCTCATTGGTGAGTATGTTATTTGGACAATAAATGAAGAAGGAGGAAGAGTGATCCGGAGTGTATAGTAGGACTGGCAGCACTCAGTTTTACTGGGAGTTTGAGTGCTTATCCATCTGAATTCTGCCAAGCAGAAGACCAAAACACTACTGCTAATACACAGACCCCCAAAATGAGGATGCGCAGCGGAGGTGATTGCATTCCACAAGTTTTTAGGGATAAGCACAACTTGTGGCACCCAATCAACACCATCAGTGCCCAACTAACTCGTCCATTAGTGAATTCCATGCCAATGGTAATGGTGATGACAAGCCAAGGGGGTGATGCCACTTGAAACATGACACCATAGTGCATAGCAAAGGTTCCACCTTATTTTTATGGTCTGTCCGTATGGAGCTCCGGTGAATGGTTTCACCTCATCGCTGCTACACTTCCAACTTGATCGAAAATGATTTCTGTACAGTAATGCAAGCATTCAAAAATTGCACAGCTCCTCCTGCACGCTACTGTTTTTGGACGTTGTGCAATTTGTGGGTGCTTATTAAACTCCACTGAAAGTGCACGCTTTCGGTCAGCCGATCTGGCAAAACAGTGGGCTCAAGTGAAATCGCCTTCTTCCCTTCAGCATATTTTTAAAGTCTGTGCCTCAAAACCTTGATCAGTCTAGGGATAGTCCTCAATAGCTCAGTTGTCCAATATCTAAATAACTGTAGCGGCACAGCTCACTTTCAAGGAATGCCATTCAGAATTATGGCAAATGACTGTCTGTGGATTTCATAAGATCTTGCTGATGGACTGTCGGCATGTCCTTATGGAAGACTTGGTGACCAACTTTCTTTCTGGCAATAGGTCGCCTTATTTTTTGTTGGCCATCGACTCTTCATAATCAGTCAATTAAGACTAGGTACATCGTCATGTGTCGGGCACATTTCCAAACCGCTTTTATCATTTAGTCGAAAAGCACTAGCTATAATACCCTGTACCTTTCCTTTTATGCGAAGTCCTTTGCATCTCTGCAATTTACTCTTTTGAGATGATCACTCTAAAGGGACGCTGAATTATCCATCAGTAGTCTAGAAAGGTCAGTCACAAAGGCTAGCAAAAGTCGAAACTATAGGTCCAAATTCTGACATTAAAATCAATCAGACATTAGTAAAGACAAGCATGCTGACTGTAGACATTCAATATTTCATACACAAATTAATTCTGCCTCCTGATTTCATCCCTTCCAGACGGAGGTATGCGTAGCTTGTAATTGTTTAAAGGTGAATGCGTCTTGCAATACACTCAGGCAAATTTGGCAAGAAGCGAATGCAATTCCGCACTTTTCCTTAATGGGTCTATTTTTATCCGGTCATGAAGACCGCAGACAATTTCAAGTGACTCAACACCAATTTTGGACTACAATTTTACCCAAATTTTAGAGCTGGAGACTGCTAATGTGAAATTCAAGACATGTCACCTGACACAACTTGTCAAGTGACAAGTTTTTTTGACAGAACGCACCCAAATTGATTAACATCTTGCTCATGACTGGCAACATTTTCCCTAACTGCCTCATCCAATAAAGCTTCTCACACTATAATGCTCTTTGATGCAGCATTTTTTACATGCGCCCTAACCGGTAGGCGCTGGCTTTCTCTCCTCATTTCTTCATTTGTTCTTCTCCACTTCAACCTGATCTCTGTCACTAATGTGGAGGTATGGTCCCTACTACGTAGCCATTTATCACATCAGTCTGTCGGAAAAATGCACATTTTTTCGTTGTACTGTTGTCAAGGCTCACCTTCCATTCCTTTCCACCTTGAACAAACAGTCAGTAGTGGTGCCTGTTTCCCTGCGCAGGGGACAAAGCGATAACTTGTTAAACAACTACCTTCTTGCATATGATTCTGTGCTTTCGTCTGTCAGAGGAAGGGGGAATGTAACGGAGTCGATGCCGACAGAGACTTTGGAGGCATTAGGGAGGAGAAAGAAAATGAAAATGGAGAAGCTGAATACGTGGTGTGTTTTATCAATCTACTTTCATTCACACTGTCTTTCACTTTTCTTAAACACTTTGATTGAAATCAGCCCCTCAAAATAGATCTTCAGGTTCTCGCCATTTTCCGCTCAGTTAAGCTGTTGACAGAGAGATGTGATGAAAAGGCGTGAGTCACACGTGACAGAGGTGACAAATACGCGCATACATCGTGCAGTTCAAACCCTCCACCATCCCCATCCCCCAAAGCCTTATTTTGAGGAAAGCAGTGGCGACGTCGGTAGTTTAAAAAAGCAATTTGGCTGCGTTGATGTCAGTAAAAAAGGCTTTCAATCCGTTGATAAAGCCAGTAAACTTTATTTACTGCTTTAAGCAGGATAGCGGCCTGCATAACATAGGTGTAAGCATATGCTAGCATTGAAAAGGATTTGATAATGGAAGTAAACTTGAAAATATAGAGCCTTTCGACGGCACTGGTGTGCTTTACACCCCTCTTCCTCCCTCTCAGAAAAGGACAGGAGAGGAAAGAAACAGAGATGTGGATATGTTGGCCTAGCCAAAGCCATCAATTAGCGACTATTTGCTTCTTTGTGCCATTTGTCCTCTTATGCCTTAGTGACAAAGCTTCCTACCGCCTTGACAAGGCATTACAGTCCGGCCGTCTGCAAGTCCATTGGGCTTTGTCACTTTATGCGGTAGGAAATGTTGGGCTCCAGTAGTGTAAGAACCAGTTCCTCTACGATGGACTTTGATGCGCTAGCGCCAGACCTCACTTCTTTCCCATTACGCGAGTCTTTGGAGCAAAGCTTTCGCTCAGTCCTCCTCCTTTGAAATCATAATGGCTGTCCTTATAAGCCTGTTTAATTGAGATTAAACTTATCACATCCCTGCCTTCTTCTGTCAAAATTTTAGAAGGATTGAGATCTCGCAGCCTTGAGCCAGCACCCTTTGACCGGTCCACTTGTCATCCAATTATTGCTGTCTCCCAACCCCCTCTAACTCCCACCATTCCGAGATGTATCTCTCGTCAACGCCAAGCCACCTTTAGTGCAGAGAGCGACTACGAGACTCCCGAGAAAATTTGGCTACGAGAGCAACGCCTTTCAGCAATCAGACGCACTGAGAGTGCCCGTTTGACCACTCCTATCCATCGAGGCGTCAGTCGAAGCCAGTCCAGTGGGCCGCGGACTCATTTTGACCTTGACGCAACTCCCAAGGCTTCGTCAAGTGCTTTCACTGAAGTGACACCAAAAGCTCAATTTGGGGTCAGAAGGCGAGCGCCATCGATGCGAGTCGAGCTGAGGACACCACTGTGTCAGAGAAAACGAATTCAACCAATGAAAGAGGCGGAGACGGAGGCTGCAATTTTACGCAAACGAGAGGGCGTACGTATAAATAATTATGAAACTATAAAGCCACTTCGTAAGCAAAAAAATTTCAACTCAGGATTCAAAGATTGCTAGTTTTTCTTGAGCCCATTCCCCTCTGGCTATTTTTGTTTACTAAATGGGTTGCCATGAGGAGAGAAGCCGGTCTTCAAAGACGCACAAGCAAAACTGTCTTTAAGTTACAAAAAGAATGCCATTTTCCTAATCTCACACCTTGCATAATCTGTAAATATGGAGAGAAGGGTATTTGCCTTTTAAAACCGCATTGTTTGCAATAACTCCATAGAATCTTGAAGGCTAAAATTCCCGTGAAAATCGAGGAGACAGCAAAGGTGACATGGTTAACGACTCTGCTGATCTGTTCGTCTGTGACGGAAGAAAACAAGTTTGAAGAGTCTCATGGGCACTGTGCAACTTATTAGTACCCATTAGCTATCAGCACTTCGTGCCGCAAAGCGTTTGAGCCATAAGACTCAAACCATTAACAGTGCCTACTTAAATGATCAAATAGTAGCATTAACTAAATGCAATATAGAAATTTAAAAATTGCTCAGAAATTTGGATAAAGTGACACAAGAAGAAAGAATAAAAACCATCTTACTATCTAAAGGCATGTGTCAAGAATCCACCGATAGCGTACTTACTCTCAGAAAGATCGTCCTCGACATCGCCGTTAATAGCAATCCACAGGTACCTGATGCCTTGAAAAAGTTTATTTCCCACATCGCATGCATCAAAGTGCACGCATTCCATTACCAACCTCGACGTAAATCTCCTTTCGTAGGTTGGTTCCACAGCCAGAAGTAACGATGTGAGAAACAAATGCGACGTTGAATTATCAAAACACAGGACATATGCTTTAAGGGAAGAAAGAAGAAAAACAAATAAAATCACTTTCTTTTGCTAGTAAATTACACGATCCCGGACCTCGAAAGCAGTGAAATTCTTCTTTGGCAACTTACGAACAAATAGGAGAGAAAAGTTAATAACTGCTGCAATTAATCCCTTTTAATTCATCTATACGCCCATCTGATGGGTGGTGGGTAACGGAAGTTAAAACTGTCATGTAGTCTGCCATCTAAAGGCGTAAAATGAAAAAGCACTCCCTTGACGAAATTGCTTACACCGACTGCATCGACCAAGCTCCACTTATTCTGCGCAACTGCTCTTTTGTCTGCAATGCTTCCTATAACCTGACTAGTCACATCTCCTACCTTTCCTATTAATTTGAGATCCAACTCGCTTAGTTGGACATTCAGTCTGGACCTCAAGATCGATCCCCTCTCTTCCCACTTGCCACACTTTGCCTCTGCAATCTGCAATCCAACCCAAGCGACTGGTGACCATCAATGGGTAAAATTGGGTGCGGAGATGTATTAAAATATTTCAATAAGTTTTCACATACCCTCTGGTTGTTGGCAGCCAAGTGGCCACTAAATCAGCTGCACTCCGAGTAGGCGACCTCGTAAAACATCCTCCACCTCACTGGGGCCCATAAGCACCTTAATTATTGCAGTGCAGGTGATAAAAATTTGAAATTCTATCCAACAACATTCCTCTATGTGATAAACGACCCCCTCTGGCGCTAACCAATCACATGAGGGAACGAGCAAATAATAAACAAATGTAAATAAAGAGTAGAAATGCGGTAGAGCTAAAGACATCAAAGGGTAGATGATGGTGTCCTTGGGAGGAAAAGCTCCTTCTATTTCTCCACTTCACCAGCATGGTCCTACCCTGCATAACCGCCTCGACTTTTTCACCTCTCACACCACATGCACGACGCCCGTACATGTGCACCGGTGTCAAGTGTGCAGGTGTGTGTGCGTGTGTGCAAAGCAGGCAGGAGGAGAACCAATAACGACTTCACACGTAGTGATTGGTTTGCACACCTCGGACAACCAAAGGTAAACTTTGGTCTATTCACTCTGATCAAATCATTGTGCTCCTTGCGGACCGCTAAAACGGCCAGTAAGTTGGTGGCTAAAAAGCCAGTGATGGAATTGATGGTCTTTAAAAGGACTTACAGCATAATTTTTTTGCGTTTTTGATGTTTCGACGAGTAGAAATCCTTAATTTAAGCGCCATATTTTCTTCCTCTAGTAGCCACTAGCTTTTTGTCTAAAGTGATTTAAAAATCTTGATTTTCTTCCACTTGGATCGACTTTGTTGAAGAACTGGTGCCTCGTGAAAAGGGTTTCGGCGACAAAGGTGAGGAAGTGAAGACTATGAAGGAGTCTAGACTTATTTATTGCGTGAATACCTCGGTGATGGGAGTCGTTTACCTTATTTCACGATTGTAGCTTGAATGACTTTGTTGGCCAGTTAATCAGCCAATCACACTTACGTTGTATGAAAGGCGCATCTTTTGACTCTCACAGATATACGAATTGGAGGAGCCGTTAATGTCCGGACCCAGTAGTCTTCTTCAAGCCCTAAAGGAGGTAAAATTCGCTGAGAAGGAGCAATTAGATCGAACACCACAAGCGGAGCCCCGACGTATCACTCTCTTTGACTTAATTGTCGAAAAGGAGCGTCGACACCGGGTACGATCACCACCTCCGGTGCCACCAAAACCGGTGCGTCGGTTAGCAGCGACACTAGCGACAGCGGCAGCAGCAAGGGCAACAACGACGATGAAGCCATCGCAGCGAAGTGAACAAAGTATAGAAAGTTCAGTGCCTAAAACTGTGAACGATCTCAAGCCTTCCACACTGTTCCAACTGAGCACACCACCATCGTTGCCATTACCGCCGAGATGTGCAGTGCTAAAAAAAGCTTCAGAGAGGAGTAATAACGGTTCGAAGACGGCAGTGATAACTACAAATAAGCCGTAAGTAGATAAACGTGGGTTAAGACCTATTTCCAGCCTCACTGAACAGATCTTTCCTTTAACCAAGCCTTCCTCCACTCACAATCATGGGTGCTTTTCTCTCGCCTTTAGCTGATAACCATTCATGATAAGCTAGTAGATGTCGACAAGCCGCTAGTGTTGGGATGTTGATAGCCAACAGGAAAAGCAAACAAAACGACAGCTCAGATGTAAGTTCGCATAAGGTGGGTAGATGAGTTGGCACAATAGGAGAAGTAGGTCAATGAATGGAGAGGGGAGTGACAGTTGGACAGGCGGTTGTCCAGATAGCTCAGTGTGTGGACACAGTAGCAGAAAAGTCGACTTTTGAAAAGGTGAAGTCATGGAAGTGAACGTAGGCGTAAACAAAACGATGATAGGGACATGAGCAGATGGATAAACGGTGGCACAAACAGGATGGGTGTTGAAACAAACCTTGCACAGAGTATAGTCTCTTCTGCTCGCACTCTTAACTAAACACTTCAGGAATCTTTTGGATGAAGGTCCAAATACCAATTGCATCGTGGCCTTTTCTATCCATGCTATCTGGCTAGGTCAGAGAGTCTAAATTGAAGGTGTAGGAAACCAAAGAATTTGGGCGACATTGCCGTGTAATCCAATACTTGCAAAGTAGGAGCAACAAATTTAATCTTTTTTGTGCCTCGAAAGTATTTAGTTAGCTTTCGAAGAGATCTTTGTGCGAAGTGTATACAAGTCTGTCGGTTGAGTGAATATGAGTTAAGAGTGTTGGCCAGACTAGCAATTCAGACGCCTTGTAGGGGAGAAAATGAGGCCCGATGAGACTCTCATCCAGCTAGCTAATAACCACATTTACCGGACCGTCTTGCTGGATGAGTTGCTAAAGAAGGTGGTTTTTTTTTGGTTGTTAGAGAAGTCAAGAAAGCTGTTGTCTCATAGAGGAGGATGTCTTGGTAATTGGACCCATGAGGCTAACTAATGTGCACTCTCTAAATGAAATCCAAAGAAGCGAAACTTTAAGTCACTTAACCCGAATTTCATCCTTTCATTCACAGCTGCGTGACAACGTGGTGGTCTAATTGAACATGAAGCTTCCTTTTCAACCATAAAACTCAAATCAGCTAAAATAGAGAAAATTTGGTGGCGATTTTGGTTTTACCCCCAGCAAAACAATCTGTACACTCGCCTATCTAATTGACTCTCCATCTACTCTTCCTTCCTCCTCACTTATTATGAACTGAGGTTATTCCAAAAGATGATTTTCCAGTTAGTGCATTTGGTAGTGCTGCGTGTGTTCCATTTGAATGTAGTGTCCAGAAATGTGACTTTCTACACCCTATTTTACGCCGACTATGGAAAACCTTTCTCATGATGCCTCGGTGGCCGGCAAAGGCGAAAACTAAGTGGGTGAAGCGAAGCAGTTTACACAAGAAACATACGAGATGACATCATTGTGAGACTTTATATTAAACCAACCCGGCACATTCTGATTTGTCAAGATAGGTTAAAATGTATTACTTTTTGCCTATTTGTACTCTGCGTTGACAAGCACGCCTATTCGGTGTTATTAGGCTGCTCATCACACGATACCAACTTTATCCATTATTACTTTAACTTTACTCTCCGACTAAGTCGTGTGGCAGCGCTTATAAGATGGCAACTAACAATGAACTTCTAAGGTCCGAATTTCCAACCATACTACTAATTGAATTCATAAGTAGACCCTTTTTTCGCCTTTATTATTGTAGATCCGATCAAGGAAATAGGAAGGAGAGGACACCACCGCTTATCAGCGATAACCTGTTCGTCCGGTGGGATCGTCTTAAGAGCATTCCTCTCACCAGCCCACAAGGGGATGTAGGTTCTCACTATCCCTTATCACCGTATCCTCACAATGGCCGAATTACAATAAACTTGACAGGTTAAATAGGAGTCATATTGAATGGCCAATAATATAAATGTGCTTATACCGGGTTGTATAAATGGTACCACTTTGGCTGTGCTTGTACAGTTGTGAATTTTTGGCGACATGGGGTTCATTGGTAGAGGAAGATAATCTTCCTCTGCATTCGTGGTAAATTCAAGGATCCATTTCAATCTTTTAAAAACAAGTAGCACTTACAAGCGGGAGTTGAACACTTTCTCACTTCTGTGACTCCCTCCAGATCTACTTTCCATCCCAAAAATAGACCAAGGGAGGTCGATCAATCTCGGGTGGAGAGGGACGCATTTCTCCAGGCTCCAGTGGTGTTGGTACCGAGGCATTTGACGACGACGGCTTCATTACGGCCTCCGCATCGGCAATCACTCCCATGAGTGTCTGCTCCTCCCCATCCGCCAGTTCTGTGAATTCCTCCTCCTCGCCTTCGGTGGATTGGCCGCATCCGGAGAAGATCACTGCCCGTCCACTCTCCCATCAATGTTCACCCGACTCCATCGATGAACCCCACTTATTTCCGAAATTGAAAGAGTTAAATGGGAATGCTGATGAGGCGAGAACCATCACGGGTAGGTAGAAAAGGAGGTATTTTTAGTTAATGAGTACAGTTTCCTAGGATAAGAGCTGCACCATTCTTAGTCGTTATATCAAAGAACTAGAAGATCTTTATGAAATACTAGGTATTGGAATATGAACGCATGATCTGATAATCCCTGTTACACTTAAACAATCCTACAACATCTTAACGAAATGGAAAACTAACAACAGTTCGTTTCATCTGTGCTAAAGAAGGAAAGACATTTCTGCCACCTTATAGTGTCTCCATCAATTGTCCCTTCATGATTTGCGTTTATTGTCCAGATTATTCAGAACTCCACCATGAAGTGAAACAACAAAATCACAAGTAAACATTTGATGATGAAATTTGAGTCTACAATTTTCCAGAAAAAGTGAAAAGCCTTTAATTGTGCACTTTACAAGCCTCCGATTCTTTTGGTCCTCTTTGACGGTGAGAGCTTGGATCTTGAAGCGGCTCTACATGTCGCTGTTAATGTTTGGCGTGTAGATTTCTCAATGCAAATTCAGCGGTGTCATTCAGAAAAGACGGTTGAGCGGACTCACCACCCATCAGTTCCTTAAATAGACAGGCACCTCTTGATTAGCTAGTCTGATATAGAATGCCAAATTGCTGCTGGTGGTGTTATCTTCACAGAGGCAGGGAATTTCACTGCTGAGTGAGAAGTGTGATGGATAGACTTGCTCAAATCCACATAACCTGAGAAGGTCTTAACATCTCGACTCATGCGTTCTCACCGCCCGGTTCTCATTCTACAAATAATGCCCTCTTGTAAACCATTTCTGCTTTGTCAGTGGACCGAAGTAGTTCAGATTACTACAGGCTTTAATGTAAACAGTACTAAGGCATAAAAAGGACCAGAGGAGTATTGTGACCTTGTACATTACAGCACAAGTAACAGGAGTACTATGCAGTGTTGGGACTTCTTTTGTGCAAATCCCAACACAAGCCTAAGCTAAACTCGTGAGACCGATAGGAGCTCGAAGCCTATCTCTTTAGGCAGAACAATCGACAGGAGACACGGAAGCGACTTGTTGTTTTTCCAAAGTTAGAGCAAAGGCTTGGTTCTCAGTGATGTGATATTGCACTCATTTGCTTTGCTTTGAGAGGGAGGACAAGGAGAAGTGGATTAAGCACTGAAGATGAAAAGCATGTCAACAAGCTTAAAAGCGGCATTTGCCGATGATCGCATTCTCATGTACCTGCTTTGAATTGGTATGAAATGGTTTTTACAAACTCCTGTAACTTGTTAAGTAATCCAGAAGTGCACGTGATTTTCGCTGCTACATGGTAGTGTTTATGGGTATGGAGCGTAAACAAACAGACGAGTTGACCAATTTATTATCACTCTTACCTGTAGCCCATACTGCTTGACGCTCACTTTGGACTCACCGCTACATCAAATACAAATCTCATCGAGTGCGGTCCGAGTTTGGAGGAATGAATCTTCCGACTCATTTGTAAAAGGAGGGATTTGCACTAATGATTGTCTTGTATTTTGATTAAGATGGTGGCGTTTAATTTGGAAGGGACCTCCAATCTGGATGACGGTGATCGATTGGTTCGTAAAATATATTATCCACGTTTTATGGTGATTTGTGTAAAAGAATTATCAAGACAGATAAAACGGGACTCAACAGCACAATTCTACGCCTAAAATATGGAACCAAAAGCTTTCCGACGTCTATAGTTAATTAAATCAGACTTATTACTCACGATCTCTGTAAGAATTACCATAGTTTAAGATATCGACTCTGTGACCACCACAACTCGTGTTTTGAACTCCTTGAGTGCTTAAATATACTCAGTAGTATCCTGTCATATCATCTCTCCACAGGTCACAGTCCAGTTAGAGTGAGTCTCGTTGCTGCACCCAAAAAATCTCTCCCAACTTCAGATAACCTTCCACCTGAGACGGCTTCTGACACCAACACCATCACCACTAGTAGCAGTCGTGCCAGCACCATTTTTAGTTATCCCTGGGATCTACCACCTCCCCAAGCACAACAACCCTCCTCATCCTCCTCACCACCACCTCCAGTCCCATTGAAGTGGGCGACTTTGCAGCGTCATCTTTTGGAAATGAACCATTCACCTCCTCATGCATTGGCGACACCGCAGCAAAATGGATGCGATAGCAAGGACATTCCAGAGAGGCGATCCAGCGTTGTCTCTTTGGAGAGCAATGAAGGCCCGAAAAGTGAAACGATGAAAAACGTCGAGGAGGAGAAGGTAAGAAAGAGGTTTCGGTTTTTCTCCCCGTAAACTTAAGCATAGTTGAGACCAATGATCCGCGCTATTGAAGAGTCTAATTTAAACCGGTTATGAAATTTCACAGGCATCTGGAGAGGTGATGATGTGACAGCGGGCATGCAGTATGTACATCTTGCTAGCCACTGACGTTTGATGCACAGTTGACACCTCAGCCCGTAAAGACATCACGCTTTAGTTAGACATGATTGCCTCCAACTCATCAGTCAGTTTACAGTCGTTCGAATAGTAGATCATAAAAACTTGTCAAAAAACTGCGTCTCAAAGACGAATGGGCTTGTTGGTTCTAAGGCTATAAACCTTTTTGCCTCACTTTGCTCAATGGCCAACATCATCTTCTAGACTGTATGCTTAATTTTAGACAAAATGAGCCTCTACGGAGAGTCGGATGATTGTATCTGAGACTCGTCTTCTCCGTAGAGCTAAAAGGTCTCCTATTACAAAGTGGGATTCGCAGTGAGGCACTCAGATTTACCTTAGAAGAGAAAAAAAGATACTGTTCTTCATCACACTGTCTAAAGCTTCATTTTACTACAGAGTGAAGAGCAAGTTTAAGTCCTACAATATCCGCTATCACTTATTACAAGCGCTTTTCTCTTACCTTTAGACATATGCCACGATCGGTGATGAGTCAGGTGCATACGAGAGAGTTCTGGAAAGACGCCCTTCGCTCGAAGTGCCTTCACCAAAATTGCAGCAGATCTCTGCAACAGGCAGTATTGAAGAGTCCCAAAAGGACTCAATGCCTCACTATGTTTGTAAGTTCATTAGCCTTCTGCATTGTTTAAAGGAGAGCACTTAAAAAGTCCTTCTTAGGAGAACTGAACTGTCCTTAAAGGATTTGGGTGCAACAAGACAGTACTGTCAAACTGCATTAAAATTTCAAACAAAGAATTGGTTTAAACAACTCTTCTGCATGAACGTAATTGAGGTGGAGTGGAGTGGGGAACTCACATTTTACAGTCATTGACAGATCGCATTCACAATGACCATCCTTCCATCTTGATAATGAGGTACCATGCATGGCTCTTGCCCCTAAAATGACGTGGAGAACTGTCAAGTCTGAAAAAGTGCATTCAATCCTACTGGAAAAAATCAGAAAACTAAACTTTTTAGACTGCGCAGTGAATTAAACATCTTTTGCGTCATTTGGATTAAGCAATTCGCTCCTATGTTATTTGCAGATGCTGAGGTGAGACCATCTTCCGACGTCTCCACATCGAGTAGCACTAGAATTCGAAGTCCTCCTGTCCCAGCTCATCCCTCCAAAACCAATGCCATGCCCATCTCTCCTGAGATTCATCTTTACGAAGTTATTAGAAGTAGCATAGCTCCACCAGAAGCAGGGCAGGGGAGCTTTGAAAGCCACTCCTCCACTAGCATATCCTCTAACTCCACGGAGCGTCAAAATCCAACCAACCGCAGTAGTGAATCAGCATCGGTTGCTAGCGAACTAGGCAAGCATCTAGAGCATCTTGTTTATGGGTAAGTAAAAGTTACTTCATGGGGTCAGCATTCCATCAACAAGCTACGATTAAGGTGTTCAAGAAAACAAATCACTACTGCCTAGCCCTTTCACCATTCTGCTGTGCAGCCAAATGACATAAATTTTTTTGATGCCATCAACAATTCTTCAAAAACAATTCAAAGGAAACACCATATAAAATGTGCACATCGCCAAACCAAACTAGCAGACACGTGAGTAAATGCTTTTGAAGAAAACTACAAGCCAGCACATATCATATGTCACCTTTGTACTTTAACTGAGATAAATATGACATCAGGTCTGGTTAAGAGTCTTTGAGATTCTGTTGATTGCATTTTCTCTTCGATTTAGCCTTATGAAGGACAGGAACTCCCCGTTCTACAAACATATGTCGACGTTTATTGAGTGTATAATACAACAGTTGGGACAGACACCGCAGAAAACGTTGCAAAATGTACGTCAGCAAGTGTTGATTAAGAATCTTTAAGATAGGCTGCTTAACTTGGCTAGCTTGATAACTAAGTTGGTGTTCATATGCATTTTTGTTACTTAAATTAATTCAGTAAATGGTAGTAAAATACAGATGTGTTTAATACTGCCGTCTGATTTAAATTAAAGCCTTGTGGAGTACATTTTGAATGAGAGGTAAATATTTCGTTCAAGTAAATCATTAAAGTGGACGCCTGCATCACAGTCAGTTTGATGGGATTACTGGAATGGCCATGACAAAAGATTTGCAGGAAACACCGGGTAGTAGCATAAAATGCACATTTACTTGACGCAGAAACCATGTTATCTGTCTGGAGAAGCAGTTTTTATCTCGAAATATTAAAATTTGGTGGCAAACTAAAATTGGAATCAAATTCGCTTTGGATGTCTTATCTACAACCTGGGGAAATCAAACATTATTTTTAGCTGTCCAAACTTCCACTGTCTTATCGTCACTGCGGCTATTGCAGGGATGTTGTTTATGTTAAGTATCATTCCATAGAATAAAAAACCTTCTAACCATAGATCTGCCAATTCATAAACGGAGTCTCCAATTTTCTGCAAAAAGTTCATGCTGCGGAACTGCGACAGGCGGTGGAAGCCGAGGAAAGGGACCTTCGCGGCCTCCAGTACCTCGATGTAGCGCAAGAACTAGAAAATCTTATGCAACTAACAGTTCTGCGTCCACTGCATCGGAGATTAATCGAGGATTTGCAGCGTCATGGATGTGGGTGAGTCATACCTAATTGGATCTTCTATTTTATGACATATGATGCCGCATTGAGCAATCTCTTAAAATCTATTTTGCCTTTGAATTGTGGTAAAGAGCATTAAAGTTAGAGGATCATAAGACACTTAAATCGTCAAAGTTAACCAAATGAATCGGGCATGAGAGTTTTATCTATGAAAGATAAATTTGGGACCGTAATCATCTTTGCCTCAGTCCATTCAGAAGCACGATGCAAAAAAAAATTTGTAAGTACACAAAACCATGCAATGGTTACAAGATCACCTAGATTAAACTTTGAACTGTACATCGTTTTGCGATCACTTTTCGGGCACTCTGTGCACCACCTCTCTTGGATCTTCCTCAGTCAATCACCCGTGGCTAGGGCTGAAGTGACTCAGTCTTTGCTATCGGCTCTTAATAAGCTCCAAATTTGGTGATCCTTCTTAGCCAACCAATCAACGCACCCACTCTGAAACCTATTGATTATTGATTATCGAGCTAGAAGGTGAACACGATTTTGAGCATCCTTGTACACAGCGTCATTGCTTAATCGTCCACGTTCGGAGTGTAGATGGCTGTAACTTCAAGACACTAATAAAGGCCGCAATGGAAAACGGTTCCTCAATTCCAAATGTGGAGTGCCATTTTCGTCGTTCAGAATCCTTTCGATCAGGCAACAGTTGTCTAAGTCCAACCCAAACTTACCACTTTTGTTATCGGGATCTTCACAAAGTCTCATAAAGCTAGGAAGTCATTTTGTTTTTCCAATGTAGAACTGTTCCACCGCAGACTGCAGAAGAATTTACAGATCTTGTGAAGCAGGAGTATCGTAAACTCCCCAATCTGAGTCAAGTGAGTTTCGTCAGCAGTGAATGGGCACCCTGAAAATGTTTTTCTGTTTGCTAACACCAAGAGTCATTCGACTTTCAGGAGGATAGGCAGCGATTGGAGAAGACACTATTTCAGCCAGTGAGACGAATATTCTACCAAATGCAGGATGCCTTCCAACCCAGTGACAAATTGGATTGTCTTATTCGTATTTTTAACACCATTAATTTGCAGGTATCTCAGTTTTACATGGCTTATTTATGAAGTGCTTTTCGTTTGGTAGTTGCTCATTATACGTACTATAGTGGAGTGTTTGTAATTAATTCTTCACCTGATGTTTTGGGGAAAACCCAAATTCAATGATGCCATTGCGACTGAAAGCTTCAGTTTAGTTTCCATAATTAGTTCCTCACACATCATATTTTATCTCATAGCTTGTTGCAATATAAATTGAAAATTTTACCTGTATAGGAAACATCGGTAAGGTGCCTTCTACTTGATAGCACCTCCTGTTAGTCAGTGGTTTAACTATGATTAACAGTAAAAGAGAAGTTTTAAGAGGCAAAGGTTTCCAAAGTACAAAGCAACAACTAGCTGGACTGTATGCTTTGTGATTTCTCACTTATTCACTTGGTTGTCTCGAAAAACTGTCATGTACGTTCCCTCTAATGATGCGGAGCGATGAACTATAAGTTATTTATCAGTAAAAACATACAGATTCCTTAGAGGTCTACCCCAAACGCCGAAAGGCAGTTGCTTCGAAATCGCTTCCATTCACCGTGAGGCTAGTTCGACATGCTTGCGCGAACACAAGATGGTGTCTTTCAAGCTCTCATATTGCATAATTGATGGATAAGCTTCACTTTCTGAATCCAGGCAGTACTGAGCTATCTAAACGTATATGGCAATTTGCGCATTCTTTCCGAAATACAGAGATAGTGGCTAAAATAATGGTGCTGGTTGGTATTCCTCTTTTGAAAGGACAGACGCATTGGAATGAGAATTTTAGCCGGCATTTTGATTCTTTACTTTCTTTCTTGTACATTTTATGTAGGTGCAAGTTCCAGCCAATTCGATCTCGGGTCAAGGCCGGGATGCAAGTGAGTTATTTTTATTTTCGTTCCGTTAGTTACTTTACCACTAAACTAGTTACAGACTCCCTGATTTGGAGCAAGTTTTCCAGCAATAGCTAACTATTGGCCTACAAAATGGTCTTGAGTTTACATTTACAAAATGGCTGGAGAAGCAATAACAACTTATAGGCAGTAATTAAAAAGGACGAGCTTGGAGCTTTGGGCCCTCTCATTGCTATCATAGTAATAATAATAATAATAATCATCAATGATAAGTAGCAATTTCTCTTAAAGTGGTGAACATGTAAGATCTGTTAGGAAGGGGTCAAAGGCTGTAGTTATTGGTACATTGTTTGACCAACTCAGAGACTCATTTTCAAAATCGGGAATTAAATGCTAATTACTTGTGAAAAAACAAATTAACGTTTGGTTTAAAGGGAGTCAGATGTAACTACTCAATTTTTGGTAGTACCCACCGAGAGGACTCGGTGTTACTCACAGCAACTGTTCAAGGGACACATTGCGAGGGGTAGACAAGACGCGTCACCTTATTAGCATGGTTCGTTTTCTCGGATTTGCAAAGCACTTCTTCTTGTTTTGAATTGCTGCTTCGAAATCAGTAGACTTGAACTGGTGAATGGGCTCTAATGTTTTCTTTTTGCTCCTTTGTGTGCGTAATTTTCATTGGGTCAAGGTGGATGGATGAGGAGTCTCAAACTAACAGTGGTTAAGTTGCTTGGGGATATGTTAAGTTTTCCACCTTCATATCGAGCCAACATCATCAGTGGATGACAGCAGACTCATATCGGCATCAAGAATTTACCCCTCATCGTGTGCGAGACGATAATAAAGCGTGTAGTTTGTGTAGTTACTTGCTACATAAACTAACATTAATATATTACATTTTTCATTGCTTGCCTCGAAAAAATACCTCAAAAGAGTCTTGCCCGTGCAACGGACTGCAGGGTTAAAAATATACCTCCCCGGTGAAAAACAGAGGAAAAAATAGTACTACCGCATTCCCCTGCTTGAGCATTTTATGGAGGAAGGGGTAAGCAAAGTTAGACCTTATTTTGGTCCAAATACCGTTAGATTTGCGCACCCACATCCTGTTTATTAGGTAGAATAAAAGTGGAAGATGATGATAAGGGGAATAAAGTCATACAAAGCCCTTTTCACGGAACCAAAGGAGGCCGACAAAACACACCACAAAGAACCCAAGTGACATTCGGTGTTTTATGCGTCAAACAGTGAGCTCTATAGAGTTCAGTGCGAAAGATCGTTGTTGAGGCCTTCAGAAGCAAAATTGCACCGTAGTGTACTAACACTGTTTCACTAATCATTATTTATAATGTTTTAGAGAAATTCGTTATCTACGCCACTATTCTTGCTTTGGTGGATCTTCTGAGGCCTTCAAGGACCTTGGATGCAAAGGGCGATAGTGACACAAGTACCGGTATCAGTCGTATTGAAGTACAACGTTTATACTTGGAGGCTCTTATCGCACCATCCCGCCTCGCCTCCAGCGCTGAGGGCTGTAAATGTCTTACCGATCTTATCTGTCTCCTGCGCTACGTTGAGAACTTCAAATGCTACACCTCGCCTACTGAAACAATTCGTTTAATAGCTCGAAAAAGTCAACAGGCTACGGAAATCGAGGTAAGTTTTGTGCATTTTTGAAGTCAACAATTAAAAGATGTTTCAAATAGATTAAGGCTGAAACATTATTACTCTGTTTACGTACAACTTTGCTGCCTAGCAGATTTGCTGAGACCCCTTACGGGATCCACACTCATTTGTGGCGAAATCTATGAACAACCATTGCAACCCCGATGGATTGATGGGACACAGCCATGATTGGAGGAAAGCACAAATGAGCTAAGGCATCTTGCAGAGCTGAGTGAAGTTTAATAAGGCAGTCAACCACCTCTTCGATAGGCTACTGTAACTCCATTGGTTGGATTCCATTCCACCGATTTCAATGAAATACAATATATACGTGCAAGAGGAGCTCTTTGGAATCCACAGGCATAGTCGCCCATTTAAATAATGTTTTTTTTTGGTAATCATTCTCGCACAAGACTATGTGGATCACCTTGCCTTGAGAAACTGCTCTTCATACTTTTCCGGTTTCGAGACTCACATCTGTTAAAATTCAGGCTCCTCTTTCTAAGCAGGTAGATGCTAAACGCGATTCCTATCTCACTGTCTCGGTGAAGCGGTCCATATCACAAGAAGGTCGAAGTGGGGTTTGGAGGTTAAATCAAAGTCGCCGTTATGCAGTAAATGTTGCTGTTCTGTTTCAAAGTCATAGGTGTACTTTTCATTCATTGTTGTTCCGTCTTTTTAGGAGTCATTGTGCCACCCAAATCTAAATACTATACGCCGCTCCTATACCGACAACATCCAGGAAGCGCTTGATCGCAGCAATGATTACCCACTGACGTTTAGTTTCGCCTCACCTCCTTGGCAGGAGAGGAGGGTGAGAAAGATTGGGTGTAGCCAAGGCGCTGAAAAGACCCCTATCCCATCCACCCCCTCTGCCTCTTCCTCCATTCTTGTACTAGCAGCTAATGAAGCCGAAAGGCTCCTGGTGCCCTATGAAATACCACTTCGACAGAGCCTTACGGTCAGGGAGCTATGTGAGTCATCCATTGGATTGTCAACGCAACGACAAATGATTCTGCAACTTCTTAAATTATTATTTGTGCTGCAAGCCTTAACAACAAATTAAGTACAGATACAGTAAAGATGGAAGGCTACTTAGCTTGATATGAAAGGCCATTGAGGCATCTGCCTGATTGGATATACAGGTAAACGAAGCACCATTTTACAACGCAAAAATACCTAGTTCCGAATTTACTTCACCACTATCCGATTCTTTCCACCTCAACAAGTCTGCTTTGGAATTGAAAGGAGACAAGATACCGAAGAAACTATAGTTCCTGGATATAGGAATAATTCGGGAACTACCCGCATGATTAGTGAAAGAAGCGAATTAAGTATTGCCTGACGCCTCTTCCACTTTAATGTTGTTTCTGACCCTTCCTTTAGCAATTCCCTCGCGTTATTTAGTGGAAGGAACCAGCGTTGCAGGGAAGTTGCCTACGCGTCGACCATGCCAGTCGTTAATCTCCATGCAGATGCTAGAAGGCTTAACTCTGCTGACATTTCCAATGGATCTAGTGGTTCATTTAATGTGGGAACTGCATTTAGGAAAATGAAATGTGGTGTTTATCATCCATGATCGCTCTTTGTTTTCGTAAGCTGAGTCAAATATCAAATGACGGATTAAGTCATAGTTCAGTGGAAATTGAGGTTTTGCATCTGTTTCACTTTGTTACCACTTCAGTGACGGCCAGTTTGCATGATCGTCTCTTTCTTCTGCGCATGGTTTTGATAGTTTTGTAGATAAACTTTTCTAAAATGCAGCACATTTAGTACCGCATCCAGACCACGCGGCTAAGATAGTTGTTGGAAGTGGACGCCACCGACTTTCTCACCCTCACCTCGCGTGTCTCTTGTCCCCATCTGAAATAGGGATCCAGTAGTAGAAACCCGAATATTTATTTCCTGAAAGTGTTACCGATAATAGATGCCGGGGCTTTCCTGAAAGTAAGGTAAGACAGTATTAGGTCAAAGAACTGTTGATAAGAAGAATGGCTGAAAGAGTACTGAAATGGCTTGAAGCGTCGGTGAAGGTACAACGACAAGGAGCCTAGATAAATCGGTCCTGCAGCTCAGTAAACAAGCGAGTAAATGGCAGAGCCTTCTGTGGTTAAAGTCTCAAAGTGATCTAGCGAAATGCGCCTTTTTAAAATAAATTTCAAGGTTCTGTTCTAAGGCATGTCATTTTGTTGCATTTTTAGGTAATATGCTTGCCCTGAAATTGGAGATATTTGATTCCAAGGATTACACCCTCTTCTATCACTCGGTCAGTGGAGGTGAGTTCGACAATGCTGGATTTTCCGGTATTTTTTTTGCGAGTGGTCAGGCAGCAAAGTTCAGGTGCCAAATTTTAAAACTTTCATGTCGTAAAATATCTCCTGGAGTTGGTGAACTCGATTTTGACTCTTCCTCCACACTCCATCATTTGACGTAGCATTGAATGTGGACGTGTCGCAATCATCATCATGTTTAAAGTAAATGCGGCTAAAAGATGTTCACGCTCCCACCCAAATCCGCAAAAGTATTGCTTTTTTCCTACCTAAACTATCCTAAAACTAGTGAGAGCTTCAAGTACCTCCATCTACCGGCCAAAATAGCCTCCAAATCTCAAAATGGAAAATTGAGACGCTCTGTTTCTATTGACCTCCAGATTTTTTGATGTCTGATACTCTTCATCTGGAGCGTTTTATTATTCAATGCCCGGACGCGAGTGTCCAATCAGTGGACGAAGAGATGGGTATTACCTTCTCCTCCTCCAGCAGCATCGATGTCCTTACCAACTCACAACCGACCACACCGAAAGTGTCCCCTTTTCGACGATTCTTTCGACGTCAAAAACGCCTTATTAATTCGAACTCATTAAAGAGTGAGTCGCCTCTTCCCCAATGCCAGCACCACCAAAAGAGTAAAGGAGTTATGAAGCGTCAGCCCTCTATAGACTGGAGCACGATGGGTGGTAGGGACGCTAATTTTGTCCTTATCTATCGTCGGCGTAGTAGTGAAGCGGTACTCTATGCAAATGACCTCTTTGAATGTCTTCCAGGGCTCGGAAAACTTATATGATTGTATATAACCGAAATTTGGACCAGATCTTCGTCTTCCAACCTTATAGTGATAAAAATTTTCATAATCAGAATGCATATATCCTGAAAGTTGTTTGACCAATTGCAATAAGACAATGAGGTGATTGGTTTTTCCTTATTTCTCTGCCTTCTTATTGGTTTGTTCAAGCTACTCTTCAATTGGAGAGATTGGTTCAAGCGATCATAATCATGCTGCAAATGGCAAATGTTGATTTTCGCAATAAGTTCTGGCCACACAGCTGATGGTAGTGTGGGAGCACTAAATTTAAAAGAAATACGTCCCTTTAAGAAGTGTGGCTTATCTCGTCTTCTCCCACTCATTGTCAAAAACTCGAGGTTTAAGAAACGTACGATAGTACAAAGACTTCACATTTCAGAAGTTTCTGTTTTAGGTGAAGCGATGAAGGTGAGTCACTATTCGCACTCTAAAGCATGTTAAAAGGGAGCACTCACTGCATCTTTGATTAAGGTTTAAGAACTTAATACCATCAGGAAATCATTACGTACGTTAAACTATGGGACACCCAAAGTCCCTGCTTATCTCTTTCGCTGAAGTATTGACACTAAATTGGTAGAAAGTCGGTTTCGTAGCAGCATGTTTTAGTGCAAACGTATAATTTAACTCACATTAAAGAAGTAGAAGCCTGATAGCTATATCACTAATTTGGTTAATATTTAAAATTGTAAATATTCGCTTGAGTATAGTTATAATCAGCAATGGAAATCTGGCCCCACTGAAGTATTAAATTGCTTGATCCCTCAGTTAGATGCAGTTGACTTCCGATATTTGGCTTAGAACTTTCATCGAATCAAAAAGCAAGTGGCTTCTCAAAAATCTTCAAGAGGATATTTCTTTGCTCAGTGATTTTATGAAAATAAAAATAATACGTTAGCAAATTAGAAACTCAGAGCAAGCTGATTGGTTCATGTTGCGAACACCTGATTGGAGGATTATAAATATGAAATGTTTATTGGACGGAATGTTTACGGTCGGAAATCACAAGCTAAGTCAGTATTACATATATCTGGGAATTGAAAGTCGTCCAGAAGATGAATTTTTGGTCCAGTATCGGTAAAGTTCTCGAAGATCTGATGCGTCCACCCAATATCACCTTCATACCAAAATGACACGTACGGTCGATATCCACTAAAGCGGAGAAAATCGAGTCATCCTTATTATACGATTTGCTTTACAGTAAATTACGTTCAGGTTTCAAGGTAATTTTGGCTGTCTTTAGTTAAAAGGTTGTGCAGCTTTAGTTTTGCATTGAATGATACATCAAAATTAATTGTGCATAAGACATCGCTAAGATCATGTTAGGCCTTAAAAATACTCCTTTAGCATTGAACAAGTGAAAGTGATTGCGAGCCTTCCACTATTCTCCTGTTATCCTTATCAAGCATTCCCTCGGATGTGCCACCTTACCTCGGTAGTGGCTGTCTTGCAAACCCGAATCCTCCGAAAACGGGATGGTCGTGCAATTCACCACTTGCATGTGGTATAACCCACCAATCGATCAGCTGCTTCAACACCTTCCTATTCACTCCCATATCCCACGTCGATCCGACATAGTACTGCTCGAACTGGAGCATGAAGTCCCTGTGCGGCGGTGACCAGTTAGTTCGATAGATGCAACAAGGACCATAGTGATTAACGATTGGAGTGATCAGATAAGCCGTGTGATTGTAATTGAAAAAAATGCACGGAAAGTAGGCATTAGGCCAGAAGATGGGAACGCAAAAGTCTGTGTAGTTCTCCACCATAATGCCCAAATCCGGCGCATAGACGGAGTAACCCCGGCCAATGGCGTAGGGCAGGAGGGGCGGAATGCCATCAATCCAGGGCGGTATAGGCATCTCATCATCGTCACGTGAAGTGATAGTGATGGTAAAATCGGTGTAGAAACGAGGAGGAAGCAACGGAGCTGATGGGAGAATTGGCACTTGTGATGGTGATAGCACAGCTTTGCAAACTAGCTGTAAGTTGAAAAGGAAATGAAAAGGGATGGATAAATAATTGAATTCTGCATTCTTCCCTTTTGCCAAAATCGTCTTTACAAATTACCAAAATCCTAGAAGCGCTTTATTTTTTTTATTAAATATTATTACTGCAAGAAACACCTGTCAAATGTCAGCCTAGAGATCAGCCATGCTCTTCTACACCACCGCGAACAAGAGGATGGAGGGATGCGGCTAGGAGGGGAAGAAGGTGTCACGTTCCATACATCAGAGTAATCATATTTGGATTGTTGCATAGATATGACATTCGGTTTTAGTAGTCATCAAGGTTTTTTTAATTCCTACGGCCCTCATATTGTCGAATTATTAGGAAAATATGGTCAAATATGGGACTCACAGTCAGCGATACGAGAAGCCACATCATAAAGCAAATGCCAGATTAATGAAATGTGTGTTCTTGCAAGTAAACACGCACACCTTGAATGATGTGACCTTTCATTAGTCTAATGACAATTGGCTTCTACCCCTCTCACTCTCGCCTTCCTGATTGGTGGGGAAAGGGGAAGAAGGGGATTCAAGTGAATGGTTGATAGTGTGAAAATTTTGTCCTCCAAGATGAGAAATTAACAAATTGTTAGTCAACCTGAAGCACTTTTGACGTAAGATCGTTAATAAATCTTCAAGAAATTAAATGAAGAGCGTCAGAGGTGATTCTGACAGTGATGATGCCTGTAGAATGGTTCTACCCTAATTTATAAATAGTTACGTTCTAACTCCCAGTGGTTATTCCACTGCGTTGACCTTTCCATTAGGAGTCACTGTATATGGGTCTTCTTGAACATCCACACCAGGAAGTAGGCTTCAAGGCTTTGGAAGGCAAAGGGTTCTTAGCGCAGTACATCAGTGTTAAGGTGTGAGTTTGGTGCCACATAGTGACCAAGGGCATAAAATTCACAAGTAGACTTAGTTTACTCCTCGAGGAACATTCTTCACGATTACCAAACTTCCATATCCAAACATCAATGAGGGATCGGTACTATCAGGAGGGTGTCAGTAGGAGTTTGGTCATAGTGTTTTCTACTGATGGCAAGTAAATTGTCAAATCTTGCACAATTGTGTACTAAGGTCCATTGGCGCAAGTCGACCACGAGGACACCCTTCTCCACCGATAAGGAAGTTGAAGGCGACAGTATCAAGTCTTTTCGAGGCCCTAACAGAACTGTGTCTCATTAATAAACTCAAATTCTTCATCTTATGCAACCTTGCACTAGCGTCAACAAGGGTCGTCTTACACTTACATGCTTTCAGACTGCATATTTGTGAAGCCACATCTGGAGGTCTTCAAGTTAATGAAAGTGCGGGAAACCGAATGAATGGCGACAATCCTCATCCCCTCGTTTGGTGGTAGTTCAAATGGACTACCGTCAACAGGTACATGAATTGCGCATTGTTTTCGCACATTTGACCTTAAAGATCAAACACAAGACTTGCGGTTATGTCATGTCAACAAGTCCAATAGGTAGTCCACACCAATTACCTGTGCACCTTGACGGCACCCAATAGAACTTCGGTGCTCTTTGACACACCTTATGCAGCAAAACAGCAAGACGCCAGACTTGAGTAGGGAAAGAGATTAACGAAGAATTGGAGGCGAGGATACGTAAATTGGGAAGGAAACATTGTTAATAATGTGAAAATTAAAGAACAAAATATCCTAAATAAGTGTTCCATAAAGTGAAATAACGCATCCAAAACACAAAGTTAAACAATTCCTCTGCTGAATGGATAGCCTTTCTAAATGATTGGGCTGTCTATTTTGAAGTTCATTTTCATAGAATGATTCGGAATTAGATGCCAAGAATTAGGCTACATCTGTTTCCTTCTCTGTTGGCGATGCCTGCAATACTCAAGTGGCCACTAAAAGCTCCAAAAAACGTGTAATATTTTAAAAATTCAAGCCACTGAATAGGCAAGGGCAATTGGGTTATTGCAGATGAGCGGAAACGGAACAGCCCATTGACGTACTCAATAGACCAGCCATCAAGCACCAGTAGGCATAAATAAAAGCCTCCAATTTGAAAGTTTGTTTTAAAACTCTTTGAGTGTTTGACCAATCTTGTTAGAAATTTGATCCACTTCGTGGTACTTCACTTAAGTGGCGAGTCACAGCTCTCACAACGCAATTCGCCAGCCGTTTAACGGTTAACAATACCTGAGGAAACAAGGATAGAATAATGGATTCTTGCTTGAAACCTTTCAGAAAGAGGTTTCAATGACTTGGGAATTAGTTTAGACTTGCTCTGTAAAGCAGTTGGACGTGTAGAGTCGACGAGACCTTTCATGAAACAGAAAATCCACGCTACGAAGGTGGTTGAGAAATAAATAAGGCGGTGGTAAAGTGTGCGTTAATGCAGTTGGTTACTTGGTTGGCTACCTTTTAAAACGGATGAAAGTTCAAATTCCTGCCTCAAGTATAAAAGGATTTTTTCGCCAAAATAAAGTGATAATACTTGCTACTGACAAGCGATAAGTAGACTTTGCAAAAACAAATGCCGACTTATCGAACTGTTTCCTCCTTTCATAAATAAAAATCATATTCGAAATATACAAGTATGTCCACCCCCTTAAATTGTAATTGATGCATTTCTCAGCAAGTTAATGTGAGTTGTAAACGGTTAGAATAAATCTGGACCCGCTCATAGAAGCCTAGCAAGAGGAAGCTGTCCAACGATAGCGCTTACGGCTATATTTTGAGTTGTGGCGCTTAAGCAGTACCATCCAGTAAGTACGCAAGTCAGTGATGATTTTGATTGACTCGAGAATTCAAGGCCGGACTGGAAACCGTTGAATCTTTAATAGTGAACGAACTTCCTACTTCTCTCCTCTCTGTCACTCATACCTAAGTGTGGGGTGAAAGGGTTGCTTACAAATTGTTTTGCTAGGGAAGTGACCGCACACCTTGTCACAATGAATAGACGTAAATAAATGACGTCTGTTCACCTTGCCTTGTAAAGGTGCAATGAGTCTAGTGAATGCGATGGAAGCGTCTCGGGTTCAAGAATCAAAGGGTTAGCAGAACTTGTACCGTAAAAATTGCCGTCATAAGAAAGAGGGGTAAGTAGCGACCTAGCACTTTGAGTTAAGACGATTTCAGAGGAAATTTGACAGCTAATTTCGGTGCAAACGGTTTGTTTATGTCTTAATAAAATGGAGGCCTATTTTTTGTCTCGCCTCCCACTTTATGTGTCACTTCGACTGCTTAATGGCCAAGTTATGAGGCAAAATTCAGTAGAAAAGTAAGAGCAACAACAGTAATTGCTTAAACGACTTTTAGGCCACCAAGTCCACACTTATAAAGAAGACGCCAATTCAATCCCGATTAGCTCTCTACTTACTGTTCGTCCTCTTGAAAAATCAACTAAATATGCAGTTGTTCCATCCTCCGCTTGATGAAATTGGATGATACCAGAAAGCACCAGAATTATTCACCGCATCCACGAGAGGATGGTTTGTCGCTTTCACAATCTCACTGGATCTTATTGAACTTAAAGAGGCGGTAGGAAGAGAACACAGACTCGATGCCTCTCCTTTTGAGTCTTCCCTATGGAAGAGTGGAGCCAAAGTGCAGAGACTGCTTGAAGGAAAGAAGCAAATCGGTGACGATCCCACCTCTTTGACTGCCACTGACCGACACCATTTGACAGAACCTCCATTTCGCGTAATTGTTGAGGAGGTCGGGGACCAGAGCGTACTGCATTCAAAGAGTGGATTTTAGAAGTGTTTGCGTAAAACCATCACCAGAGGATTACCTTGACCTAAACTCTAAAGTAAACCACAATGCATAAACATCTTTCAAAACTTGATTCTTCTCCGATCATCCAAGCCATCGTACCGCCTGGAAAGTGCAAAAGTTTAGTTGAAACCAAAGCAATTGTAGGTGCGCATGACCTCTTAACCCCAATTCATGAGATTCACGTGACACTAATTTGTGTTCTTTTCCTTCCTCCTCCCACCCGCTCCGCTTGAATGGGGACATCAAAAGTCCATTCCTATATATTTGTCTCATGGGTCACGGAGTTGACATAATCCAAACGATGGCGGTGTTCTCTGTCTGTGCTCCTCTTGCTCTCCTCCTCTGGGCCTTCGTAGTAGACTGTCAGGTAGGTCCTCGTCTTCCAATATAGACGTGTCTTCTCCTCTCCTCGCGTGGCAATGTGCGAGGTATAACGGTTTGATTCACATGATGGGGATTGCGTTAAGTCTTCATAAAAAAAGATACTTCCTGATTTACTTCTTCATGGTCCTCCTTGTAGTTGCCTTGTCAAGGAATGGAAGAGAGCCGTGCCTCCATGAAGTGTTGACTTGACTGGTTTAAGTGACTTCTTGCATTCCTTCCCTTACATTTTGGCTACAAGACAATTTCATTCGTAATAAGCTACATGAACTATTCCCCTACTTTCACAAATGAACGACTCTTTATAAGGGAGTCGAATTCTAGCGATGAAATAGGGTAAAATGTACGCGTTGCGGGTCGGTAAGCTCAATTTACCACTACTGAAGCAGACGTCGGTCAGGACTCAGAGGTTTCGAGCGTATTCACACACACACACACCACACACCTCAAAAATCGCTTGCCCACTTCATCAACCGTGTCTCCAGGGTGCCACTTCCTTTTCCTCCTCAAGTACATGACAGGGGCATTAGAATAGACTATTCCAGGAGGAGTGCTGCATCGTAGAAGTAGCAGCCTGTTGAGACTAGAGCCTAGCCTTACAAGGCTGTAATTTATGATCCTTTACACACCTCACTAGGTCTTGCCCACATCCGAAGTCAACCAGGTAAATTATTGAAATATTTCTCTGTTTGCATTCTTTAGCCGAGTCTGGATGCAAGAAGCAGTGAGGATGTGCTAAAGAATCATAAGAAATTTTGCCTTAGCAAGGAAGGTAAGTGGACAAACAGCCTCACAAATTATATATGAGTGCAGATATGGAGGCGGTACAGCTACATCTCTACAAAATCGTCAACGATGTCTTTGAGGTAATCTACGAATGCAAGAAGCGGGGTATTCCAGTGACCAAATGTGACTTGACTCCAAATTTGTATAGCGGAAAACCGCAAGGGCCAAGGCATGAGGCTTCAAAGGACTCGATGGACTACCAAACAGACCAGTCCTCTATTCCACGACGGTATTTCCAGTCGAGAGGGAGGCCTTCTCCATTCCACAACTCACAGATGAATGGATTCCGTAGGCCTTTTCCTTCAACTGGAGGAGCCAATGCCCCTCCGCCTTTCTACCACCCTGGAGAGTATGGAATTGCTCCGTTTGTACCACCACGCCACACTTCCTCCGACAACCCACACGGGAACAATACTTTCCCGTCTTTCCATAGCAAAGGACATAACAATTACAGAGAGAATCGATGGCTTTCCAATGGGAATGTGGAAGTCAAAAATGTCTCTTCTACCTATGATTGGCACATGGCTGTGGGTGCAGCAAATTCAACGCATTCCGAGCATTAGATAACACCTGGAATGGAGGCAAAGACCTTACTATACCAATGAAGACATTTAATTAACCTTCTTTATATAAAATAAAACTTCAAGTGTATCTACGTTCCCGTAGAATTGTGCAGCATTCTTGCGTGATGCTCCAGTGAAAAGGAGAGTTTCGTTTCGCTCTACCGCTTTCACTGTAGCAATAGCTCATCTTATCGTATCTGGAAGTGCGGGCACCTCACCACGCAGTGGTAGTCTAAACACACAGTTCACGTCATTTAGGCAGAACATCCTATACATCAGCCTGTCGCGATGACAGATACGTACTGTAAGCAATGCAAATGAGAACATCTCCATAAAACTACAGTCGCATTCATTCCGACCATGTGAATCGAAGGAGCGAGATGTTTCATTAAAAATAAGGTTAAAATCCGACTCGCCGTATGTCATGCCGTTGGCGTTTGGAGGTTTACAGTCAACACGTCGATCCTCCACTACCAATGGAGAGACTGTAAATGATTTATTCATTCAACATATGCACACTAAACGAATCTAACAAAAAGGTCATTTATAATTCCACAAAGTGCCTCACCTGCCAGCAAGAACTTTCCCAAAATCATGAAGTCCTTTAACATGTTCATGCTTATTTCTCTTTCCTCGTGACAAAGCCACCTACTTATACCACGTAAACATATCTCATCACTGTAAACGACAAAATAAGTTAAGATCATTTGCACAAAGTACGAAAGTGGTGCTCTGAAAATAGGGGAAATAGGAGAAAGATAAGAGAAATCCGTCACTAGCCAATCAGCATTGGCCCCTTATAAGAATATCTACGGGAGTTCCCTAGTCTTTGCGGCTTCGAACACCAGCTAAAAATGCAGTAACCCAGAATCGCTCACTCTACAACGCTTACAGAACTGATTCGGGGGGTATGATGACGAAAGTAGCAGCTGAATCCACACCAAACTCAGACGCCATTGGAGGAGATCACTTCTCGAGGGCAACCAGACCTGAATTGGTTCAAAGCAGAAAACATACGATAGTGGTAGTCGCATTTGAAGATAAGAGCAAACCATACTTCAAAGTCCGTTTTAAAGCGATCCGAAAAATTTGTACAAAAGCAGCCCATCACTCAAAAAGAAGCACCTTCATACCTCTGCCAAAGAACATTACAGCCTAATCGTATAAACGGCCGGACCTACATGGAAAGTAAGGAGCAAAGATCACAGCTGCATCAATTCAGTCCAAAGACCAGCGAATCCCACCAGTCAACTTTCCATAAACGTCCCAAGGGGAAGGAGAAATAAGGGAAGGAATTGTAAAAAATTTAGAAGAATTAAATGAGATCACAGTAGTTTGATTTCTGAAATAACACCTCTGCACAGTGGGCAATGAAGGCATTGAGAAGAGGCTTGAAAACCGAGGAGACACTTTTGACACATCGCCACATGCCGACAGGGCACAAAGATGACATTGGCTGCGGCCTCCGCCAAGCAAATTGCGCAGTCGGGCCGCTGCTTTTGTTCACCATCCTCATTTTCAGTCCCATTAGTGAACAGTTTCTAGATAAAAAAATAATCCGACTGAATAAGTTAACATGCCAAATTTCTAAGCGATGAACAGAATTAATTCCTCACTCGAATACAGATGAGTCGATCACGATTAGTTTTGCAGTAAGAGTAGAGTACCTGCGTCGGTCGATGTTCTTCTTTGTGCTGTTTCACATGAATCATATAGAGAGAAAGGACCACCTGCTCATCTTGTATTTCACCTTCCAATGCACTCTCATCAAAGAAAGCGAAGACGAGGTCATATGAGCGTCGGAAATCGTTGATATTTACTAGTTCCTGATTAGTCTTTACGAAGATGTCTCGATTGTAGACAGAGACTTCCTCAGCTGCTGTATCTCGAATAAATTGCAAAAGTTCAACAGTAGGCCTAATCATAGCACTGTGGAAAGCAATCAATGGAACATTGCGAAGGAGGAACATGGAGACACCCTTAAGAAGCGATAGGGAAAGACGTAGGGAACCCCCATTCTCCTTATGTGTAATTTGGGTAATAGCCGCACAATTGGTTAAGGGAAAGACGGTTTCGGTGGACGGCTTAAAGACGTTGGTGCGCAAAACCGCTCTAAATGCGTCATTGATGATGCGCCGGAGGAGGAATACCAGGACACCGAAGAGAGCATAGCAAAGGAAGGTTAGGATAGCACAGGCCGTGAGCCAAAAATCGAAATCATCAGAGGTGAATTCAGACTCCTTGTCCATTCTATTCCTTTGGAAAATAACAAGTAAAATGTAACAAAGCTAGATGGACCAGAGAACTTGGAGGATAATGTATGATTATTTCCAAATGCGAATATAAGATGTAGTAAATCACATATTTTGCAGCTTAAGTGAACGTGATATATCACGATATGCTCCTGAGTAATGTGACAAATCAATGCTAAAGTCAACCGTGCGGTGGAGGACCAAGTTCGCTTCAGTGATGTTGCTCGTGCAGTTACGGAAACGTGAAAACAGACAAATCCGCAGAACTACAGTCGAAACGAAGCGGTTTACAGAATTTGAGGACATACAGACACAAGGTTCAAGATTAATCAAGTGCAACATTAATTTTCAAAGCGTTAAACTGAATCAATTAACCTTTATTTAAAAAAGTCATGAGGGTTAATGCATATCCACCCATTACTTATACCAATACGATATCAAGAAGAGCGCTGTTAGGCAAAATGGTAAACTATATCCATTCACTATCGGGACCCCAAGGTTTGTATGAATAAGCGAGAAGAGCACGAAGCATGCAGACCACCCATACTAAAACTCTTGGCTAAGATATGTATACAAATGGAATACAGCCTAAAGTGAAAAACTACTGTAACATTTTTGGAAATTTCGAAGCAATCATATAAAAACTAGCGTATATTAACATATATCTAACGTACCGAGGAAACGACACCAACTCAAACGGAGCGGCATCATAAAGATAAATGGAAGTAGGGATTAAAAGTGGTAACGTGCAGTAAAGTTATTGTGCACAGGACGAAACCTTCCTAATCTTTCCTAGTCTTTTTATTTCATAAGAGCCAGCAGTTCTAATAATGCTGCTTTTGAAAAATTTTTTCGTAAACAACAATGCGCCCTTGTTTTCTCCAAGTTGTATAATTCTAGCTAAATTTTGTCATCCCGATCCTTTTTTAAATGTTTTGTCCAACATTTAAAAATTCTGTATGAATGGCTAATAACGTGATTGCAGAAATTAATATTTCCGTTGTTTGCCTTTTATTTTCGATCACTTAAATGTCTAGGCTCTTTTGGTTAAGAATGCGGCTTTTAAGCCCTGCCAGCAGCATCAATACACATTCCACTCGAAAGTTTTATTTTCTCATGCTGAAATACGTCTAAATACAACCCAAGGAAAACAATACGCTATACGAACTAACCAGCGTTTCTTTGTTCAGGTAGAGTAGCATAATGCCCTGCCTTTTGGCTATAGGAGCAGCTCCAGGTACCATGGAAGGCAGTACGCTTAATACGCTATGATCTCAATCTTTTAAGACGTCCTGATTTGTTACAATACGAGTCAGACCTTTTGCTTTCTTATAGTGGCTAACCATAAAAGTGCTACAAAATTGTAAGGAAGATCAGATAACTTGTATCGTCTAACCGATCTATTGCTTTATTAACCGATTCTATGCCATATTTAAAGGGAACAAGGGTAGAGTCGAGGCGTTTGAACCGAAACCTGTATATCCCAAAATGCTAAAATAAAATTAATAAAATTACCTAAACGAGCATAGAAAGAAAGATGGTCTATAATGGACACAAAGGGGGTAGGAAATCAAAGATACGACAAAATTCAGTCAAAGCGCTTCCTGCACGCAAGTAGCCTTGCCCAGCGTGATTTGTATGTACAACGTTCCATTTCGAAGATACGGTGATGGTCTACAAATTCGTGAATGCACCAATGATCTCAGTCCAATATCAGGCAGCCCCCAACCAACTTGGTTGCAAGAGACCCTTGTAGGTCTTTGCCACACCTCCCTCTCATCCTCATCATTCAGGTATGGTCTCAACACTCGCACAATGTGGTTCCCCGCTCCCGTCTGATCCAAAATCGAAAAGTAAATATCCGACGAGAAGGGCCACGACAGGCAGTCATCATAGTCCCCAGGCACCAGTTTGATATAGATACCAAAAAGATAGGTGGTGAATTCAAGCTTGGCTTGCATTCTATAGCCTGGCTGGCCCAAGTAAAATGGCTCACACCATTCACCTCCATTACATTCTTCCAATTGAGCGAAATTTGCGATTCGCCAAATGTGCCAATTTCCACAGGACGCCTGTCCAACCGGAGGACAGGGGAGGGGACATGGTGGAGGACAGGGTGCAGGACAAGGTGGACAGACTGGTGGGCACGGCGGACAAGCTGGTGGACAAGCTGGCGGACAAGCTGGCGGACATGGGGGACAAACTGGTGGGCATGGCGGACAGACCGGTGGACATGGTGGGCAGGCTGGTGGACACGGCTGACAAATTGGTGGGCACGGTGGACAGGCTGGTGGGCATGCTGGTGGACAAGTGGGAGGGCATGGTGGAGAGCATGGCGGAGGGCAAGGTGGCGAACAGACGGGAGGGCAAGGTGCACAGGGAGCACATACAGGTGCGCACCCCAGATTCACTTTTTGTGTATAAGTTGCGGATTTTACTATTGGGGTGCACTTAATCGCGGGCGCAGGACAACAAACACATACCCCAGAACATCGACGTGTGCAGACAGTGGGACAGGGGGTCACAATATTGCCATTGCATGCCCATAATTTGAAGTCAATATCAAGTTTAAAATCCTTGGCCAGATAGGCGCATGCCAACTGTGATTGACCGCACTCATCAAAAATGGATATCATTGGCAACCCTGTAGCACAGTCCGCCTGAATACGGATGTACTTCGCAGTGGGCATGGTATTGCTATTCTCGTCCTGCTTAACGCATTCAAGGTCCATGCTGGAGCGGTCAGGATCCGAGGAAAGGAGAGGCCTTTTGTTCTTCAGTTGAGCATTGTTGTTCCTCACTAAGCATCGACCTTTACCACTCTGATGTCCAAGGGGTAGTGATAAACTTAGAATTGAATTTTCTTCGGTGTCGTCCACTCGTAATAACTGGGCAGCTAAGGTAGTAGACCCGACCGAACGTCGTTTTGAGAGGGTAATAAAGGAGGCCAACTTTTCTAAATCACGTTGCATATCTTCCTGTTGAAGAGGCAGCTTCCAGATCGATTGAGTGGATTCCGAGATGTCGGCTGGAACACTTACCGCCTCAGGCGTCTCTTTATTGGCTTCGTGAGAGGTTGACATCGCCAAGTCAAGGGAGTTAAAAAAGGCGATCTCACTTTGGCTTCAGCAGTCGTGACGCGGCTATCGATTTTTAGGTTGTCACGTGTCTCGCAGGGTAGCCAATAAAATCACGTGGAGGAGCGACGGGATCTACCGTCAGATCAACGGTCTTAAGCTAAGCAGAGGTAAATTATCTGATGACTTTTAATGCCACCGATAAACGGTTCCTACAACCGCCTTCCCACCCGTCTAGACCTCAAAGTCCTGCAAGCTTACCAGCCTACATGCCCGGGAATACCGATCGGCCCATTCAAACGGGCTCATTATTGTGAACAAATTCGTAATCTGTATAATTTCTAAAATTCAGGTTGTGTTTTCGTGTGGTCTTCTCACTAGCCCCAGTGACTCCATTGCCAACCCCATATCAGGTCCGCTTTTAACCGCTCATCGGTTTAGCTGCCTGCAAATGAAGCTTTTTCTTCACCTCCTTCGCCTACTCTTTTAATGACCCCCAAAATGGAGATCCCTTCCTTCCCTTTACTTCAAGACGCATCCAAGTATCTGTTAGATTTACTATGCGTAACTCAAAATCACACACATTTCGCCTCATCATCACCATCGTTATCAGACACACAAACATACACATACGACTGCATGACAGGTAGTAGTACTGGCGGCGGTGATGGGAAAAACAACAAAACTAGCAACAAAAACAACATCTAGAACAATGTGTGCAGTGAGTGTTTCGGTGCCTCGTGCCTACCAGTATAAAATGGGTTGGTGTGTGGCAGGAGAAGGGAGAAAGGGAGAGAAAATAAGCGAATAAGATATGTGACTGGTTATCGGTGTTGGTGGTGGTTGAGTGCTCGTCTGCTCTCAAACGTCGGGTGTAAGCTCCAGCTCAGAGAGCGAACCGAAGGAGGTGGTGAGGACGCTGCTGCGGCCTCGACCCGACACACCATCAATACCGCCAGTGGGTTGATGCAGCTGGAGGCTGGAGGCGGGTCGACTCATTCCTGATGTATTTTTTTGCTAAAATAAAACATCATCAGCATAGACACACCCCGCCTGACAACTCAAGACGGGATAACACACCGGCAAAGAGAAGATCGAGCTCATATGCGTCTTAACTCGCGCCTCAGAGTAAGAAAGATATTAGAGTAACAAACACACCACCATGAAAAGCTGGAACAATAATAAACGCGACATGCCGCTTGCATTTGGCATGGAAATAAGGGGCTGACTTAATATGAAAGACAAGAGTAGGACATGGTGATAGCTTCAGTGAGTGCATTAATGTCCAGTGAGTACGCCGCTTTTAACCGCAACAGCTCAAAGTGCTAGAGACTAACCTGGGCTAAAGTCAACCTCACGTGATACCCGCACTCGTGCCTCTTTGAGAGTGAGCTGTGATTCCTGACCTAGCCGAATCATTCAGAGATGAAGAGTGAGTGGACTACCAAATGCCGCTGCTCGCCACAACTTATTCACTCAGTCAGCAGCCACTCCACATAAAGTGGCAATTGGCTACGCTTCTCACTCTCTGTTGTCGAAAGCTGGTGATTTGATAAACTCCAGCTTCATTCCTTTCCTTCCCTTCCTCTCCCTCCCCTCCTATTGGTTTTGGCTGTTCTAGGGCTTATCTAGACTCCGATGGTTGTCATTTCATGTTTCTGTGAAGAACAATGCATCTCCCACAACATCTGTGCCTCGATCTCCATTATCATCATGACAATGATGACGGCCGCCTACGGCAAGATTCGACACCTGTTTTCGTCTTCTCCAAATGTGTTTAGCGGACACCACGAGGCCTGAATTAAACAGTTCAGTCAGTATTTTCAGTGCAAGGGGAGGAACACAAAGCCTGACAGAAACAGCGACCTGATGGGTGGGTGTTTTGCATGCCTCCACGCTGCGCCAAAGATTGTGGCTTACAAGTATCCTACCATGGCAACCAGACTTTATAAGGATAAATTTAATAACAGGATGCGATAAAATAAAACGGATGCGAAATCCACTTTCTTACAGTCCGCTAAAACATTCACTGGAATTTTATTTAGCCCTTCGTTCTGCGACGCCAGTGTTTGCAGCAGAGGCGAAAGGCGATGGTGAGGGGCAAGAAAAGTGCAGCGAAGTGACACACTGACAGAATTTAGAAATTCATAAACACACCAATGGTGCATGCATTTGACAAACTCGTAGAAGTCACCTCGACCTACCGCAAAGGAAAGCACAGCAGCGTTTTGGTTGTTCGATAGAGCGAAATCAGTTAAATAATTGGCTGGCCATTCAAAAAAACCAAAATTACAGAAATCCAAAATGTCAATGCTGCTTTAAATAGCTAAAAAAGCACGAGCTCTAAAACCTGCATCATCTTCAAGTGAGCTTGTTACAACAAATTTCATGCATCTGCTAATCATTGCGAGGCTAGTGCACCACTTTCTCAGCACGCAGCCAACAAGGGGCGCCAGATCCACTTTGTTGTTACCACATCACGCTGAGAGGGTTCATTCAAAAATCCCATCGTCGATTACCATTCCACCAACTGAATTGGGTATTTCATCCCATACCTCTACTCTGAAGCCTTGTCTCAATCCATCTCCACTTCTCCCACCACATGTTCACTGGCCCCACAGCCCACTAGTCACTAATGCCTCCTCCTACCATCTTCTAGCGGAAGTTTAGTCTCGACTGCCTAATAAATGTGTGAATTTCAGTTCCTAAACACTTAAACTCACCGATTGACAAGACGAGACTACGGGGAGACGCGAGAGGCTGGTGGTTGAGGCAAATCGTGGTCTTCCTTTCAACGAAGGCCGAGAGAATTTGGGCGGTCTACTGGTATCCTCCTGAGGGCATCCACGAAAGGTGACAGGGGTGGGAGTGTTTATAGTGGCGGTGGATGGAGTGGTTGTAGTGGGGGTTAAAGTCTCATCTGTCACTTTGAACCGAATCAGGTCCTCAGAAAAGAGGCTGGCGGGATTGTGCAGAGAGGCTTTAGCAGTTGGGTCAGCTGCCAGCATGCTGGCCTCTAGAAGGCGTGACTTCATCTCCAGTTCGGCTATCTGACAGTTGTGACGAATCTCCTGAGTCTGAAACAAAAAAGTGAAGTTTATCCGTGAGTACGACCTCATCATTCCCATTGGAAAGATGTTCCGACAATCCCATTAATAAAACTGAAATTGAAAGGTTGTTTGGCCTGTCATCGCATCTAGAAGCCTATTTCAGAGATAACCTTAAATTGAAAGGACAAATGATTGCATCTTCACAAAAAATAAGACGGATGAGAGCATCAGTGAGAGGCTATAAAACCCGGTTACCTGAGGGTCAACCTTGAGCAGTATGGCTGGTGGCTGGAGTTACTTGCGGTAACCCGAACTTAAAAGGCCTCTTGGTGGTCCTGATGACTTAACGAATTGGCACTGCATCACATGATTTCGTTCTGATGGCATTCATGCTTGACGAGGATCATTGAGGTTCTGGCAGTGCCGAAACTGGTTGTACCAACACCACTTTCTTATCCCTTTTACGTCCCTTTTAATGTAGCATGTCCATTACGAAGGACTTCTACTAAATGTGATCCCACTTCTGTAGAAGAGTGATACGTTAGACTTTCTGAGAGCGCCAGAAAAGGCGAGACGAAAGGTGAGAGGAGTGCGCATTGTAATGCACGGAGCAGTACAATCAGTTTTTGACGTCAAGTAACTTTTTTTTCACCTTTATTGAATTCACCTTAGTGATCCATTTAAAAATAAAACATGATTAAGGCTAGGCATCGCATTTGAATCCGAGGTCACTCCGAAACCGAGGCCAGATATCTAAAACGGGGCAAAAGTGCACCACCACCTTAAAGGTGTCCTTTAATACTGGATCATCATCTTTATTCTGAATTTGGATCCTGGAGGCGAGTCTAAAAAAAATTAACTAAGTTCACTGGTAGTACTTTTTGACTACTGGTATCGGTGGCGGTCATTGAAATGAGCAATGTTGACTGCTTGATGGGCTGCCGAAAGCTCCTCTCTTCTATTAAGGGATCTCAACTTGCTAAATTGGTGGCAGCAAAGAGTGAATTGGAATTTGCGATGACATCAGCCTTCGGCATCTGCCGCCTTCCTGAGATCTGCAAGCAAGCTATTAACAGAGGATTCAGCAACTCTCGTGAATCACCTCGAAAAGTTTCGTTCTGGGGTCCTCCCACCGTACTTGCATATGGATGTTGGAAATGGGGAATGGGAGGGAACTCTACCCACGCAGGACTGTGTTAAATCCTGTACTTCCCCTCACTAATTTGCCTCTTGATTACTGTCTTACTGTGCGACGATCAGCAAAATCTGCAATTCCGAAAGTCTGCCTTTAAGCCTCCCAAAATCGCCAATTCATTTGAAACTAATAAGCAGCATCAATGACGTTGAGGTGGAGTTTCTCCTCTCAGCCACAAATGAGAAGATGATCAGTGCGGGTGCGGTAGAGGTGATGCAAACACCCAAAGGAAGAGGAGCTGTGCACAGCATTGTTTATTTGACTACAGCTTTCGACTGCTGTCATTAAGGACACCATAGTACTCTGGGGGAGGAGGAGAAGGAGGGATGAGCTGGTCTTCGAGGCATGGCAAAAGTCCCGATCCCTCTCTATTTGTCAAATGCATAAACTCTGATCAAGTATGTTTCCTTCCCTGATCTATGAAGAAGTCTTGGGACGCTACAATGGCTTACTGCAAAGCTTCAAAATACTTATAAAAAGGGTCCCACATCAAGATAAACAATTTTATATGAGAATAAAATGTCTTGCTAGCAACCGGTGATGCGTTCAAAACAACAAGTCTCGGCAACATATGGATGCAGAATTCTTAATCATGTCTTGTAATGTTTTTGGAATTCCCAAGACAAATGCATACATGTTTCGCTCTCCTTTTTGCTCGGACTTTGGTTCACATCCAAAGGAATGTGATTTAAATCGTACCTTCAAATTCTTTAGATAAAACACCACCAAATATAATCAGTCATTCACTCTTTACGATTTTGCATTAGCTGTTGAAGAGAAAGAGAAATCGCCTACCCGTATTTAATCATTCAGAAGGAAATTGGAATATGCATGCATAAGATGGAATGAACTAGACGAAGGACAGCCAGGAGGAGACTTATGAGGTCTTGCAGAGGAATGTCGGTATGAGAGATTCGACCTCAATGGCTGACTTGTCATAAAAGCCATAAATTTGGCCCATCAACTTGACTATAACAATAATAACTGATGTGGCGGAGGGAAGGAAGAGGTGATTCATTTGAAGGGTCGGCGTTTTGAAGTAGCCCAAGTTTATGAGGACGAAGGGTAATGATGAGGTCACGACTTTGACATTTACAAGTCATAATACTTTCATTTTTTTCCATAAAAGCGCCTCTCATTTGCAAAATGCTGGGGATTTAAAGTGCTTTTCGTCCGAGAAATCCTTCCAACCCACGTCTTGTTAGAGAGCTAATTTGTTCTACTCAGATCGCCCTACAAGAACAACACCCTCAATCACACAAACTCCTTTCCATTCTGCATTTTGTGTCTCCAAAGTGCTAATAAAGTGTAGAAATAGAAGTGACCAAACTAAGAGTAAAAAACCAACCACAATACTAGTAACTTCAATGTGTAAAGATGGAGTTTCGATTTAAATGTTAAGAATCATGAAGGTAAGGTTTATTTAATGCCGACTACTCACTCTTCTATTGACGGGGTGACGTTTCAACCAGGGAGATCATAAAATTACATCTTTGCCCATGGATGTAACGCGGCTTGACTGCTGTCAAAAGGCCAAAAGCGACTGACAGCTCACACTCAATTACGCACGGGCGTGGGTGTACGCAAAATAATGGTCGAGTGTACGCTTTCGATAGCTTTATGGTTTTCAGTGCGGAAAGCAGGCTTCTAATAATTAAACTTACAACTTCCTCTCAAGAAACGGAGATCGCTATTTGAGGGAGATTATATTTAAGGCATCAGGATAAAAATCGTCACGGACCCTGCAGAATGGGAATTTTTGCACGAAAAAATGTGCCAAATAGAGGAATAACTAAGCACATAGCCCCAACAAGAGTTGTGATTTTTTCTTGGATTTTCGACAACGAACACATTCCTACTACTTTGTCATGAAATGAATTCAAGCCAAACATTTTCAGGGGTGAAGGGTTAGTGTCTCCCTTTAGCACGGGTCCAACGCTGAAAGTAAGGAAAAAATTCCACCAAAATCCAGCCATCCACCTTAGGAACTCCGAAATGCTTGAACTTCTCTTTCCAAAATTATCCAAATTATCCCAAATGATGGAGTGGAAAAGCCTTAATACTTCCCATCATCGACAAGACACTTGCGAAGCATGACCTCTACGTCCATTGTAAGGCGTCAGATCGCCTGAAATTTGCATCCCTCCCGCTCTACGTCTCCTAGAGTCTGCTTGACGTAAGACTTTGTTTGGCAAATAGGTGTTGAACCGTACCCAGTCGAGGATGCCAATTATGATGCAAGCGCCGTGATTTCGGTGATGAAACACTCGCCGTTTAAAAAGGCACAACATTGCGCAAGATGACATTTATCTGGTTAAACCCCGGAACCACCAAAACCGTTGTACTTTTGGAGATTTTTTGTGTTTGTGTGTTCGTTGCTTTCAAATCCATCTGGCTTCTGTGTTGGGGCTAGGGTCTGGATAGCATGTGCAGTGAATTTGGGCCCACATTACTCCTATTAGCCTTATTTTCCTGCCGAAGGCTGGGCGATCAAATCACTTGAAAAATAAAAATGAGTTTCTTTTTGGTGTAAAAAACAAGGACTATTAAAAATCGTATAAAATCCCGGTCACAGACGTCATTCTCAGAATCTCTGAACTCTAACACTTCCAAGGTTATTACTGAGATGACAAACCATTTGTAATTTTGACAGATTAAAATTTTGATAAGCATCACTGCTGCTATTTGGTTGAGGAGAAAGACATTACGGAAATCCATTCTTTTACCTCGTGATAAAGCACACAATTTATCGAAACCTGTAATTATAAAGTAGGTTGAGCAGCTCTATACAAATGAGAAATTTGGTGCTATGCTCTAGATAAATACACTGAGTTCCAGTGTGCCAGAAAATTTTGCAAAATGTTTTAGTGCAACGATACTGGGTCTACTGAGCTACTGAACCACGGGAAAATCTTGGAAGCTTTTCTCAAACAAAGGAGAGATACACCGAAGTGAAAACTTAAAAATAGGAAGGCAAAAAGAGCTCACCTCGGCTTCAAGTTGGAAAACTCGTTGCTGCCAATTGCGAAGGTCGTTTCGTAGCTCTCGCTCCTGACTCAAGAGGCGTTCAATCTCCTTCTCCTTCTCATTCATCTTCAACTCCTGTTCATTCTGCCGTCGCGTAAGACCCTTGCAGCGTGACTCCACCTTTCGAACCTAGCAAGAGAAGAATAAATTTTACCTCTCAAACAGGAATACTGAAACCGGCGCTCAGGTGGCGTGCTACCAAAGGGTCTCTCAATATATTTCCAACTTTTGAAGTCGCGACTATTGATAGACAATCCATACGATCAGAATGCGATTCCTAGATTTTTACTAAGCGTTTGGACGCCCTATTTCGTCTCAACCTTCATCTCATCTAGGTAATGATTGGGAAAACAATTTGAGGACACAATGTAGGTGAAATAATTTACCTTTCCGATCCCTCCTTTGACAACCCTATCCCACTCTGGGGTAGTCCGAGGAAAAGTCATGTTGAACCGTTTGCACACCGACAATGTTATGATGCCATTAGAAATAGATTTGAGCCATTCACCTATACTTAGTTATACTAAATCTTTTAAATGCTCCTTAGTCTTCATCGAGAAGACTTAGATCTCCCTAGGATAGGGAGTCCGGTGAACCACCGAACATCCTTGCAGGGACCGTTACTTTCGAAAGGCAGAGGTCGTTTGTTGATGATGCCTGGATTTCAACGCCTTAGAGTTAATTAGGACAGATTTGCCGAAGTTCTTGCATTTAAAAACCGAAGTGCCCGACATTCCAGACGCTTATTTTCCCACCTCGCCTGTTTGTCTGCGACCTCAAATATTGAGCCCAAAATAGCAGCCACTCGCATTCCCATTGGTCCTCGATGCAGACCAATCACCTACTTACGCCTTGAAAATTATTTAGTAGATAAGCTAATTAACGACCTTATTACTTTATCACTAATGCTAAGGCAATTTTACTTTTGTTTCCGTGACATCTATCGAGGTAAATGCAATCAGCAGAGCCCCGCCCCTCACGCACATGGGCATGTAAGTTTTCCTGGCGATCTTACGATGCAGAGAATGTTGCAGTAGAGTAGATGAAATTAGGGTGATTCCATGGGACAGAATGGTTTTAACTCGTGCTACCATGGCAACCTAGCAAACATCCAATAATAACTGAGTGTTTTCCCCAAGAAAATGCAACACAGAAGGATTTGAAGTAGGAAAGGATTATTATTTTTGAGACTACAATTTGCGCAAGAGATTTTCCTATTTGCTAATTCCCTGGTGTGGTTTTGTGAAAAATCACTTCAGAAAACAGGATTTTGGTGCTGGAACTCATTTCATCGATTCGAATACTGAAAAATACCTAGAAAGTTTTATAGAATTCCCTACGTATTCGTCATGAAGCGGTGAAGTCGACCCGTTAACTTTATCCTGAGCAAAAGGTATCTGACATCCGTCATGTGAAAAAAGAACTTCTATTTGGTCAATGCCAGGAAAGTTGAACATTCCCGGAAAAAGTAAAGTTAGACATGCATTACTCTTGACATATCATATCATCCAGCCCTGATCCTGCAATGAAAATGTAAAAGGAAAACAAAAATTAAAGTTAGATTATAAGCAGGTTTAACTGCTACTGCTGTGATGGATGACAAAAATATTTTAGCGCTTCCAACAAGGTTTCATTTTTACACAGCAAAGTACTGCTGGCATGGTACTGAGCTTATTAAAAATTCATTCAAATTCCTGACTATTGTTAAAATGGAAATGCTGAACAGTTTAGTCAATTTTGTCCCCACACGACGACGACTTCTGCGCCAGAAGGCAGCTCTGACTCCTGTGTGCCCTAAAAATGCTCAATGTTACCAGTTTTAGGCTCATGAGAGGTGAAGAACACACCAGTTCTATACATTCTTTTGATAAAACATTAACTTCAAACATGATTGATTGATTCGTGTCTTTGAAAATAGTTAAGGGTTACTGAAGTGTACAACCAAGACTTTCCTGATAGTTCAATTTACAAAAAGAGGTTTTGATGACGGGCATTCGATTTCTATGAAGATGAGTCTGTTGAGCTATGCGGCCACTACATTCTCGCATAGCAGACTTAGCGCGCACTATGAGGTAGGGTGATACCAGTACACTTCGACTGATGGATGTGAGACGATTGCGAGTAAAAAAAGAAAGATTTCATGGTGCACAAGTAAACGAGAGATTAGCTAAATATCTGGCATAAAGCAAAGCCACTGTGGCATTTACGTGACTCAAAATGGAGAAGAAAGCCTTCTCCCTTAAGCATCGACTATGGCTATGGCATATTCACCGTTCCAGTGGGCGCAAAGTAGTCAACTAAAAAGCACTTCAAAAAAAAAGCTAGAAGATAAATTTCTCAAACTTGTCACTATCTTTTAACATCTTTTACCTCGGCTTGTGTTTCATTAAGTAGCACCAGTGCTCTCGCTTCGCGTTGTCTCGCTGCCAGCGCTTCTATCTTCCACTCGGACTTATCTGCGAACCGCGATATTGATGCCCGCAATGACTCCGTAATCCGCCCTAGTCTCCATCCTTCTTTTCCCTTGTTACCATCACCGACGATTGCTGAAGTGGCAGAACGCTTTAGCGGTGCGTGCGGTAGTGATCTACGCATCCGCACTTCACCATTTTGCTGTTGCAGTTGCTGAGCTTCTAGACGCCTACGGAGAACAGCTAGGTGGGGACTGCTATGTGCGCTGTTGAGCGAGACTAGTGAAATTTCGTCGTGACTCTCAGAAGTGCAGCCACTGTCACTCAGCGGAGAGGCACTTCCAGTGCGTTTGGAGCGACGCCAAGCAGAGAGCGGAACTTGACGGTAGTGCGGCATGATGTCACTCTCTACCACATCAATATCGGCTTCATCATCATCGTCATCGTCGGCGTCAGCATCAACATCGTAACTAGCGGAACGGAGGGTTGAGGAGGTTTGCGAGATACGGGGCTCATCTGGTGCTGCCTCTGTCTCCGCGTCCTCGTCCTCACACTTTAACGCCTTCAGACGAGCGGGGAGAGGACCATCAGAATTGAAGAGGACATCAAGCCATGGGATCTGACGCGTTAAAGTGACATCAGTTATACGTGCTGATAATAAGAATTTTCTCATGTTACAAGATCATAGCTTTTGAAATACCTGAATTTTAGACAGCCCATCAACTCATTTTCTACTAAATCTTTATTTTCTTCACCCAAGGCACAACCACCCCAAAAACCGTCGCTGGCTCGTCACCTTAATTAACTGAAGGCATATTCACCACAAGGTCAACGGGTTAGTAACAGTCGCGCATGCTTAAGCCGACTAATGCACTCAAACTCTGAGTCTTACTACACCATCTTGGCTACCAAACCGTAAAGCGCGTACAAACGTCGCTGACTAAACCTCATTAACCAACAGGTGTCTGCCCTAAGGCTAATCGATTATCGATTAATTATTGGGTCAAAGGCAAGACGAGACCCGAGGCGCCAACCTACCCAAACTTTAACACAAGGTGGATTTTTTAAATGTCAATAATAAAAGAGGTTGACAGAATAACTGATTGAAGCACCCAATTTTTTGGGAGATGGACTGCATCACGTCACACAATGGGTGGTGTGAGAACCTCATTCACCTGGTGGGACCAATAACTACGATTTGACAGATTCCCACAGGCAATAGCACACCGTTTTGAAACTCCTTATGACGTTTCATGACGAAACAATACTCTGATTTTCAAAAACAAATATGACGGAGAGACCAATTCAGCAAATCAAACTATGAGATAATTAACATTCAAAACAGTATTATGCGCAGAGTTAATGCATAGGAATAGCCTTGTAAAATGATAGTTAAATGTGGTTCCTCATCGAGCCGTACAATTGTCAATTTTTAAATCAAAACCAAGACTCCCTTTAACCCCCGTTCACCCTAAGCATGATTGCCGTCCTGAATAGCCCTAATTCCTCTCCATATAATCAAGAGCAAACGTTTTGTGGGATAGAAAACTGAGAGTTAGAAACTTACTTGTTCAATGACTTGGTCAATTGCCTCTACTCGACTCCGCAAGTCTTCGTAGGCCAAAGTCATCTCCGCCTCGCGCTGTCGGCACATGCTCAGCTCGGCTTGCAACACCTGCACCTCTTGGGTGCTTGAGGCCTCCAGCTCCGATTTTTGCTACCATAAGCAAGCAGATAATGGGTAAATGAATTGACGAAGAGGTGACTTTTTCCAGGAAAAAAACTTGTCTCCCTTAGACTCCACTTCAGAAAACCATCTTGCAGAGAACGCATAACTCAGATTAAGAGATATTATTTGAGAAATTAGGCAAGCGACTGTAGAAATGGTACCTTCAGTGGTCAACCAAACAATCTGTTATTGATGGAGGACGCGAAAACCAACTCCCTTTCCTTTCCAGCCTTAGTACGAGGAACACAATCCTATCATTCAGACATGGATTGAATTACTGTCTGTAAATAGCTTGCAGCAACTCGATTGTTTGTTACATTTCTACTGAAAACTGTGGAAGCATTGCACCTTCGGTCCTGGAAAGAGGCTGTAATCCCGCTTTAGAGTTCCCATCGTCTTAGGTCTTAACTCAACCCCAGCCAAGGGTCGAGAGACCAGAAGCCTGTGAACAATAGGAAAAGTATTCCTTTGCGGGACGACCTCTTCATAAACAGAAAATCAAAGCCACAACTTCTCATTTTTATAAGAGAAGTCAATAACTTTACTTGGCCCTACTTCAACAACCACTGAGTCGGAGTCCACAATAAAGTCCTGTACTGTCTACTCGGCCTGCGAAATTACCTTACCTATAACGCGCTACAACTCACAGCCTTTTGGTAACAAAGTGAGTTCTGTATGAAGCAAGTAAGCAACTTCATTTGTTATCAAATGATGGTGCAGATAACTTAGGTTCACAGGTCTGACTTGCACTTCCACTTAAGTGTGACATCACATCCTTCTGAGCCATTAGCATTTTCTTCCATTACTGTGCGTTAACGGACGGTCTCAAGGAGCCTAATGCACACCATGGGTTCCCACCATTTATAACCGAAAAAAGCCTCAAATTTACATTGAAGCCACTTATCGAGCCTTTCAAAGATGAAATAGAAGAAACTCATATCAGGCTGATGGTCCGGAAGGAAAGAAATTTGCACGGAACTCGCAAAAGAGTGAATAGGCAACATCAAAACCAAGTCCTCATTCACAACTGGTCTATCTTGAAGGTCATCACAATCGAGGAGAACAATGAAGACCAACTGTAAATTATGGATTATGAGGCAACGGTACATGATTTATGCATGGGTGATAGTGAATTGTGTCTCAACACTCCCCACTTAACTGCTAATCACTCAAGAGGAAGAAATTTTTCACTCAAACTGCAGCACTTAAGCGAGCTCTACCTCCACCACATCAAGGTGATACGCACACACTTTTGAAGGCACTCATGGTTCCCAAAGCATCAAATTTGAATGAGAACAAAGTGTTGTGGATTTGCAAGGCAAAGAAGGAGCAAATTAATGTCAAAAACTGCACTCTTTTTCCCATTAAAACAGCCCTTGAACCTCACATCATCGGTAGCACCCACAGGTTCCCAACATGACCAAGCCTCACAACCACGCCGCAGTCAGCATTCATCCCCTTACTACAGACAAGTGGACTTGTGCCAAAATTTGACAGCTTTGGAACTGACACTGGATAAAACTTATCAGTTTTAAGTGGTCAACTGTTCTCTGACACCTCAGAAGAGAACAGAGTGCTCCATAAAGAAAAGGTACTGCTACTGCGACAACGAGGTTAAGTTAGCCACTTTGGGTTGATAATGGTGGATGCATTTACAACGACTACTCGATGAAAATGGCAACAAAATAGACTGAAACCCGAGCTTTTAATGAAGAGATATGGAGAGAAATAAAAACAATCAGACTTTCAGGTGACTAACTAACTGGAAGTGGAGTTACAAAGATTGAAAATTCATGCCTATGCAGCGTTTGCGTTTCTGCCAGTCTACCCAGTGTGCACCAGCAAGTTCACAATCGCGATCCTCTGTTGTCCTTCGATTGGCCAATGCAGAGTACAGACAGACCCACACAAACAGGTAATAAACAGAGGTTCAGACTATCTCATATCGCAAGCATTGACCTCACCTGGTGGGAACCATAAGGCGACTCGTGTTGCGGCCTTCATTACCTTAATTTGTTTGAAGTAAACCACGATGAAAATCTGGCTCAGGTTATGAGATAAGCGATTTGGTTAATGGTTAATTTCCTCTTATCACCATTACTGAATACTTTAAGAAAGTATACGCCAGCGCGATCAACAGAAGTCGACTTCTACTTTTACATTTAAGAAGGTTACTCCCAGTGGCGCTTGAAGAATCTGAGTTGATCACTACAGGTATTTGTGGGGTATTCTTGCTTTTACTCCAAAATTGGTTGAGGGTAGACCCGATCATCCTTATGGTCAGGGAATGAAATGTCTCGATGTACTTTTCTGCTTAGTTTTCTCCATTGCTTTGCCGTGACGTGTGGAAACGTGGGGATTGCGTGCGGCGATTCGCAAACGTGTAATGACTCCGGAACTACTTTTACTTTAAATATTTGCAATCCACTGCAATGTGTTAATCACATTCAGTGTCCACAATGACTGCCGACAAGGTACTTGAAATCAGAGGTGTGGTATGAGGAAGTCAAACCACTCCTTAAGAATGAACGTTGACTGCCTACGTATGACTGTCAATGAAGTCAGCAGATAAAAATGAAAATGGCTACAGCTACTAAAATCATTCACTGTTAGCCGTAATGGATGATGAGAAAGAGGGCAAACACCTACAACAACCTAGAGGTAAAAAGAGGTGGTAGTGTCAGCTGAATTCCATCCCATAGCAGCGGATGGCAAATGACTTAGGTCACTGCCTACTACCAAGGCCTGATCAACGCACTAGAGACAAATATATAAAGAAGAAGCCTTTACACATATTTAATATTTAAAAGAAATTAAAATCAGAGGTTCGAAACTGAGTTTAGCTCTGTAGTCAAGGTTACACAAGGACACCAGCTCTGCTTCTTCCGCTATCATTTATGTCAGAAGATTGGGATGACTGCTTTAGACGTGAGAACCTCTCCAACCCCTAAAAGCTATTTAACAAAACAAACTATAAGCAAACGCAACTACAATAGAAGTTTGAAGGCAGAGCATTATCTTTGATTAATTGTGAGGAGCTGTGAGACTATATGTCTCGCCAATTGGTGACCACAAATACACTTGGATAGAGATCAACTTCAAAAGCAACCAGCGGATGTTTTTAACAATTAAACACTTTAGTAATGGCAAAAAACTACAATTTTACGTACCAAATTTAACTGAGCACAAGCTTCTCGTGTCTCATCCAAAGCCGCGGAGAGGTTCATTTGATTTTCCAGGAGACTAGTGATCATCTGTTTCAAGTAATCGACGTATTCCGCATTTGCTACCTCCACACCAGCTTTGATTGCCGACTTTTCGGCGCACCGATTGGCGCAGACTTGTGATGTCTCCTCGGGTAGATGAATCGTGTGTTTAGGTGTACTCATTGCAGCACTAAAAGACGCAATAATAACAATGACCCGAAATGGACTTCGTTTACTCGTCCTCAAGAGTTCCAAAGGAGGAAATCTCTAATCTGCCTGAAGCTGCTACTTTGTTATGGTTAGAGAATCTAACTTGCACACCAAATAAACTGTCAACCCAGAACAGCTTGAAACAGAAGCACGGACCCATGGCACTGTAGTCATAGCACAGTCACAAGCCCCATGTCGTTGGATAGGCCACAATTGCCCATCAGACCTAGCAACCGGCCCAGCATTGCAAGAGGCGGTCAGTAGAGGAAACGACAGGCATTTTGACCCCAATCCACACGAATTCAAAAGGGGCAGCCACACAAAGGATGCATTTGCATATACATATGCATTCACACTGAGTGAGCTGTAGAGTGCTTTGGATCCATCAATCTACCGAAGTGAACAAATTGAACCGCAGGGAAAGTGGAAACAATAGAGGTGCTAAAGAAATTCACGCTGGTATCATCTCTTCAAGTCACAGCGACATCGAAGGTCACAACGGAAAGCTTGATTTTATAAGGGCAATGCCAATCTTTCTAGGTAATTGAAAAGAGCGCCAATCATTTTATGGCTGAATGCCAAATCTGTTTTGATAAAATAATTAAACAGCCGCCTTCTTCAACAACTTCGCACAAAGGGAAAGAAGAGAGGGTTAGATTGCCTTCAATTTCTGTGAGAGGGGGAGGGACGGAGAGGAGGAGAGCGTTAGCCGTCTTGCCTGTGCCGGGCACTTCTGTATTGCTACTTCTCTGCTCTTCATGTTATTGCATTTCTTGCGCACATTGTGTAATTGTTACACGCTGAAATTTCACACTATGAGACACAATTTTGTTCTTTTTCCCAAACACTGAGTGATGAATAGTAAAAACTGGCACGGCATTACATGCCACTGCCTCTGCGTTGGCATGCCTTTTTCACGGTTACGAATCTCCCATTCTTAGCCACCTTCGCATCCTAGTTTGAAAAAGCTCCAGCTCATGTAAATCATCCAATGCTTTATCTCTTCCTACTTTCATAAGACTTTGCTGATATTTACAGGTGAAAGGAAGAGATGGTAAAAGGTTACATTCAGACTCGGTTTTCCTTTAGAAGAACTATTGTACAGCGTCACGAGAGCCCTTTTGAGGCAAGCGAAGGCATAGAAATGGAGAGGGGTCGGGGCTTTTAGTGTTGCTTGAAGGCTACCACGGAAGCCGGAGGCTCAAAAACGTTATAAACATGAAATTTACGAAAACCATATTTCTTTTTCTGTCTATCAAAAATACCAACTTAAATGGATGAAAATGAAAAGGACAGCCTATTCTTCTCTCCAATGCCGCAAGAACGCAAATGGAAGGACATGCCGTCTGGCACTTTAACCCATTAAAAATCTAACAACTTACCACTTCAAGGTAATTCTATCACACCGCTTTGAAACCTCGACAATATGAATCGCGTAGTGAGTAAATGAAATGTGATCAAAATGTAGTGCATCGGATGCGTAAGAACCCAGAAAAGTTGGGTTTAGCAGATCTACCAGGAGTAATTGCGATTCAGAGTCGGGTCAATCCAAGTTAATAAGAAGCAGGAAAGTAGCACCCCTTAAAGGCGATTTCATACAATGCCTCTCGTCCTTTGTCCACCCAACCCCTCCCTCACGTTTCTTCAAGTGTCCATCAAAGTGCCTTAATGCCAGACGGTTAACAGAATAGGCAGCCAGAAAGTAAAGGTCTAGACATACGGAATCTTCTGCAACGGGTTTCTTACTATCCATCAGATGCAAAATTATTCATAAAGTAGATTTATAGCAAACCTTGCATTGAGCACTACCTCAAGAAACTGTCGGAAGTGCTGATTTAATTTTGGATAGTAAGAGAGAAATACGTGGTTTATCATAAAGAGAGCACTCTGCGAAATGCCTTAGCCACGACACATCTGTGGTGAAATTTCACACCCAGATCACCCCAGTAACCTACGAGGTCAAATGCACACCTTTTCACCCGACCAGTTACCAGCCCACTTGCCCCACGTGAACACGAAGAGTTCACCTTTAACGTCTAGTCATCAGAAAAGCAAAGCTAAAAGCATTGACTTTGGAGAGGGAGGGGGAGGAAACGATCGTTTAGACCCATCCAAGGTGCCTTACAAGCTACTAGAAGTTGACATCGCGTAAAATTTCGAGTGGGATTTAACAGCCAGTTCCTTTAGATACTATTAAATGTGCATTTTTTGTTGGCGAAATATAAATGATTCGAAGGAAAAGTAGCACCGTATTCACACCATGCACCCATCTGCTGTCACTTCCATGACCAGCCGAAAGGGCATTTGCAAAAATTGTGTACCTTTTCAAACTATTTTGTCGAAAACAAAAGCTTTATTATGTAAAAATAAGGTGCTACCAAGTCCCTGGTAAAATTTCGCAAGTTCTCGCATTAAAGGCACCACAAAAGCATTGCTTACGAACTACCAGGTGGTACTTGTCAACGTAGACTCATTGGTGCAAACTGATAACATTTTCCAATTCAAGGTGTAGCCTAGCCATTACCTTTGGACCACAAGAGGGAAATACAACACTACTAGTCTGTGATCAACTATTTTATGAACCTTGGATCCTGTGTTTTGGCTTTCACACTAAATTTCACCCACCTTTAATATTAGTCAATTGAGCCCTGTACTGTCCTCTATTTTGTTCTTTGCTCCAGCAAATGGGCACCAGTATAGTTCTCACGGTCTCTTTAGCAGAATAAAAGAAGTGCGATATAGGTCTGCTAATTTTGTGGTCCTGCTTGACTCCCATCCCTTGGCAACTTCTACTTTTTAAGTTCCTAAAGCAACCAAGTGACTCACTGTCAAGAGTAGGAGCACATGACATTCATCTACCACATTAATTAAAACAAGATGATGCTCCATTTTGCTTGAAAAAGGGTAGATATCGACATTTAAGTCAACCACATAAACATGCACCTGGTGTCTTTCTTCTGTACATCTCCTTTTCCTTGGCGCCACATTTTTGAGGTCAAATGCGTATAGTGGGATGCAGACTACCACACTGGCCATCAGACTCGGAGAGGAAGTTCCACCCTCATAGGTCATTCTGTTGACGCGAAACGACAACTTGTAGACGACGGTGGTGAGATGATAGAGAACACACATAAGGTACATTTGTGACTTAAGACTGGATGAACGAATCAAGAGGTCATGTATCGGTTAGCCTGGGACAATTTGTTGACTGCTATGAACACTAGCCCCAGTTAAAATTGGCTCCTTAATTCGTTACTGAAAACTAGCCCATAAAGCGATCTCGAAGGCCTGAAAACCTCCAACTTCAAAACTTGCCTCATTGTACACAATTCCTGTCGCACAAAAATGAGAACAAAACAAACCGGCTAGTGCAAGCCTCCCCACTCGAGTCTGGCGCAGCAAAATTAGCGCACGGAACGCTGTAAGAGATCTCTTCAAATAAAAGCACAATAGTGAAAATTGCCATGTTTTATGATGATTAGCTAGTCTGCTTCACCACCCTGTTTAAGCCTGTGCCTTCTACCCTTGCCATTCAAGGTGACCTACCAGCCCCTCTACAAGTCAGCACTGTGTGTTTTCGTTAACAGCTCCGACTTTTACCACCTTAGGATTTGGCATTAGATGCGAGCAATGTTCTCGGTTAGGTGTCTAACAAGGGGGGGGGG